TTCTGTCCTGTGCTATCAAATCAATATCAGGGATACAGTTTAGTTCTGGATGCAGTTCAGTTCATCACCTTTGGCCTCAATCATCAGTGTTCGTTTTGTGGTTTCTTTTTGGCATCCTTTCGTCCATAAACCATTTATTTCTTATTACAGTGCCTGTTTGATGATTCTCTGTTTCTTTCCTCTCAAGATGTGTCCAGTTTAGCGACATCTTCTCTGTCATAACTGTTGATGCTAGTAGTTGCCCAAACATTTCTCTTATTTCTTCACCCCTGTTAAATTCATCCCATTTTATATTCATAATTTTCCTGAGATGCATTTATCTTTCGTTCCACGTCTTTAGTGTTATTTCAGCTTTCACTAACATATGTTAAAACTGAAACAACATTAGCATTAAAAACAAGTAACTTCGTTTTAAAATTGTACAAAGTTGCATATCTTGTTAAGGCCTTTAGAAACTGTTGATGCTGTGCCAATGTGTATTATAACAAAAATGACATAGCTTCCCTGAATGTTAATATTGGATAATCGAGGTTGTCAGACCACGGGTGTGTCCAGCTGGTGGCTAGCACGTGTACGGTCAAGTGGTCAAATTTCTCTTGAGGCATGGCCCTCCATGCCGATGTAGCCTAATTTGATACGGAAAATATTTTGGGACCAAAAACAGTGGGCGAGATATTGATCACTTCAGTCACCGATTAGTCTATAAAAACAACCGAGAGCTGAGCACCATATACCAGAATAGGCATTAAGGAGCACATGAGTGTCCTTTACTTTCCTCCCAGTTGACGTCACCCATGCCGTTTGCGGTTATCTGGAGGCGGCAAATCCTAAACCCTTGAGTAGATAATGACCATACATAAAGCTTTTTCCATACCCGAGGTATACAGGAACAGGGGGCATGGTAGCAGCAAGCATGGCATTTTAGCAAGAAGCACTTTATTATGAAACAACATCCAAAGGTCGCTGAACAGACCACGTTTTAGTAAGTTAGTTGTATCTGACATGCTTCTTCAGCCAGGTAATGCCCTCAAGCCGGTCAACGACATGGGGGAAATGCCTCCGTAGACTGGTCCGAGCTCCTAGTGGAAAAGAACTTTTAAATCCCTTAAGCTAAAGTTGTCCGATTAACGTCTGCCCGTGCTACTGCCAACTGCTAAAGTCTGTCCGATGAACCACCGTCCATTTATCACTCTGGTTGCGCATGCAGACGCTTGATATGCTACTGCGGCGACTATATCACCATCAACTCAGCACCTGTCGCAATTAGCGATCATAGCTTTCACGTGCCATGCCATTAAGTGGCAGGACAAGATCACAAACACCTAGGTATTGGAAAGAGCAGGTTTTCCAACAGTTTTCTCAATGCTACGTCTATTGGCTCCGGTGGCTGGGTTAAACTGGAGAATGGAAGATGGCAGAGCCCCAAAGCACATTCTCTATGGTGAAATAAAGATGGGTAGAAGATGTCGAGACTGACCTCTATTACGATACAAAGATGTGTGCAAACAGAACATGAATGATACAGATATTGAGGTGGACTCGTGGAAACAAAATGCCTTGTACAATGTTGGGTGGAGTGGCATATCAGGAAGGAAATGAGAATGAATGAAGAAATGACTGCAGAAAGGATGAGAGCTGAACGTCAGAGAATAACACACTAATTAAAAATATTTACAACAGCCCTGAAATCCCATGCATTAATCGTGGAAGACTTTTCTTTATGCGGGCAGGTCTTGCTAGTCATACTCGCCATCGCCATTGGCTGAGGCTCTAATCCTCCTCACAGCGCCATACAACACTATCTTTTTGTGTGGGTTACTGGGCCCTATTGTGTGAACAAATAAGAATAGACCCACGGCATCCCCAACAAGGATGTCGTAGGAGTTGACTAATTGGGGGCTTCCTTCCAAGTCACAGTACATCTGTCAGAACAGCAAGGAACAAGAACTGTACACAAATAAACAAGTAAAACGTATGCACACGCACAACTCAGGCCCTGGCACAAAGAAAAAGTCAAAATGGAGGAACAATCAGGACTTTCCGCCGGAGCTTACAGCCGTTGAAAAGGAAGAAGAAAACACTTATTATCTCAAAAGAAGGAATGTTCAGAGTGCTGTGATTCCTAATTCTTGTTTAAGGTCTACAGGTGTGGTGTTGTCGTTGTGTCTGTCTACCGCGTTCTGTCTGATATACTGCCAATCATTCCTGATAGAGTTGTCCTTCCTTGCTATAATGCTCAAGTACACAGTATCCTCTTTGTTGGTCCTCTCACGCTCCAACAGTGTTGCCACTTTTCTTTGATCCAAAACAGAGTTTAAAAAAATATCTATAAACATCTAAATTTGCGTGGAAAACATTTAGAAAAAACATCCAAATGGAAAGAGTCACAAATTACATAGCAATTTATATGACTTACCCTATAGAATCATGTTCTCGTCTTTACTGAGGTCTGCCTTACAAGATCCACAGGATAAACTTAGCTTGGATGATGAAGTTGAAGCTTCAGATCCAAAATGACTAGTATGCTTTAGCTGTTCCAATTTCTTTTAATACCTAATCAGGGAGCTGATAAGTGGAACAGCCTTTTCCTACTCTTATCAGGCCGAATTTTATTGTCAAGAGAGCATTTAAGGGGTCAAATTTCATCCTGTTTCTTAGGTTAGATTTGATAAATTCACTCCGAATGAAAAACATCTAGAAAACATCTACCATCTAAACATCAAAAACGCCATCTAAATGCAAGGAAAAAATCTACATCTGGATGTAAAACAGCCAAAGTAACACTGCGCTCTAACCCTTCTAATATCCCTCCCCTTCCCCCTTCTCAAGAATGCGTTTTTCCTTCTGATGCTAATAGCAAATGGTTTTTGTGAGTTAATTTCTTACAAGACCTCGCCATTAGGTTTTCTATCTGTCCATTGTCTATAAAATCACATCTCTACAGCTTCCATAGGAATTATAATCTGTGAGCTGTTCACAATTCATTTGTGAGTTTCAGCATATTCTATATAGTTGTATGTAATTCTCTCAACTAAATTAACAAACACAAAACGCAGTGGTAGCTAAGAATTAGAACGCCCCAAGAAAGAGGGGAAAGCTGGAAAGATTAGCACTGATGAAAGCCAACAACATCTGACAATGTGGTTGAAAATGCAAGAAGTTGTTGAGATGTGGCACCCTGATAGAGCCCTAGTTAACAAATATGTTGAACATTTAAGGGGGAAAAAAGATAGTCGCCAACAAAAGATCACTGGAACACTAGCCATCAACAAAAACTAGTGACCCCAAATAGTGAACGACTAAGATATGAAATACCAGAAAGAATTTCTAATGTTATCATGGAAGGTGACGACTCACCTTCAAAATAATAATCTCCTTAAATCTTCTTCCTTCTCCCACTTCTATGTGCTGTCTGCCACTTCTATGTGCTATGTTTCCCACTTCTATGTGCTATGTATCCCACTTCTATGTGCTATGTATCCCACTTCTATGTGCTATGTCACTGTTTTGATCAAGGTACCAAAAAAAAAAAAAAAAAAAAACAGATTGTTTTCATTTATTTATTTATCTTTTAAAAATTTATTTATGTCTGTATTCAAATAAGATCATCATGTGTTACTGTATTTACAGTGTACTGTACTTAGGAAAATACATTTTAAATTTTGAATTTGTTGGACCCTGGAACAGACTAATTTAGTTTGCATAAATTTTAATGGGAAAATTGCCTTGGAGCTCGAAGGATTTGAAATTCAAACCCCGTCCCAGAAAGGATTATGTCTGAATTCTGAAGTACCACTGTAAAGATGCACTGTTATCAAGGGACCCTAACAGCTGAATGCTGGCTTATTCTCAAGAATTGGGAGTCTCCGTGGCGGAGCGGCTAGACGCTCACCGCGGATCTGAAGGTTGTGGGTTCGCTTCCTGGTGGAGCCGGACTTTTTTCCAAAAAAATGACCTTGGCTCTCAGGTCGACTCAGCCTTGAGTGGGTACCAGGTGCAGTCCCGGGAAGTAAAGGCGGCTGGCTTGATGCTGACCACATCACACATCTTGTGCCGATTGGTCTATAAAATATAGGTCTAGAGCTAGAGCCTAAAGGCGTGGAAAAGGGTCCTTTACTTACTTTACTTATTCAAATTGTTGTCTCTGTAATTACCATTACTTCTTTTCAAGACAAGCACAAAGAAGAAACACACACTAAGAATGCTGCAATGATTGTGGATAAATATATGACCACGTGAGCACAATGCAACAAGAATACACCTTTCTAGTCAAATAATTCAGACACAAGAAAACTTACAAAACACCTTTATTGGTTATTTCTACATTGACAACTAGTGTGTAGCACAAAGCTCTTGAATGCTACATGCAGGAATACATTGACATCATATAAAAATGTCACTTGAACACAAAAGACAAATAATAAATGGAGGGAAAAACATATATACACAATATAACCATTTATTTATGTCTGCTATTGCAAGGATAGTTATTTCTTTCAAGAGCTTTTAACAGAAAAATCTACCATACGTTTTCATTACATTTTCACAATTCGAAGTGTTAAGTCAAAACTGTTATTAGGCATGACTCACAAGTTCACAAGACCCATAAGTGTGTGCCTTGATGAATGGCATAGGCATTCACTTCTCTCCCCTGACCTCATTTTATGGTTCATAGTCTTATATACAGCCAAAACTGATGTCAACAGCCATATATGAGATGTTTGTGGACAAAAGTGACAATGGCATTAAAAAAAACTTGACATTACCAACAGTAACATGTCTGTGTCTGGAGCATAACATAAATTTTACTTACTTTCAACATAACATAATTAATTAAACTGCATTTAAATGACATGATGAAATGGTCCCAAAGATTCATATTTACAGGAAAACAAGTAAACACAAATAAAAGAAAGTGGTATTAATGTCCTATCTGAAAGCCAACTCCATGAACAATTAAGAATAAACACAACTGTGTCTGCCCCAAGCAACAGGCAGTATTAATGTTTAGTGTTCCTGGTCCTCATGGCATAAGGTGAGGCTTTCTGTCCTGCCATGGTCTGCGCCGAGTCGGGCTGGTTAGTCTGTGTGACAACAGTTGCCATCGCTGCAGCTGGGAGCACGTTCGGTGCTAGAACTTGAGATGCCAGTGTTGCATCTGAAGGCAGAGTGGGCTGAACCTAGTAGTAGATTGACACCCGTTAGAAAGACATCCTATAAAGGTGAATCTGAAGCAACTACATCTCAATGATGAAAAACTGGGTTCTGTACAGTTCACAACTAAATACCAGCAGTTGACATCATCTGTAAAGTTAGGTCAAAAGTTCACACAGTAACATGGTTTTTTAATCTCATGGACACCAAGCTGTCTTTAAACAAACAGGAGATATCAGCAGCAGTGCTTCTTCAAAATATGAGCAGATGAAAGTATTTGTCTCTGGTGACCATTTTTTTTCTTCAAAAATATTATGTAAAACACAAGACTAACAAAAGATGAGGAAGGTCATGGCAACCATTAAGGATCTTTCTGCAAAAAAAAAAATTAAATGATGTTCATCACAGAAACCTTTTCTGCTGTTCTTAATCCCTTAGTGAAGAGAGGAGGATATAAATGGGGATACATTCTAGTTAGACTGTCGTTTCCTCACTTCCTGTGGAGATTTTGCAGAGCTCTTCAATGGAATTCATTTAGTTATCTCCTAAGCTCCCCCATTAGTGATTCTATTATACCACTCAATTCCCTGTTTTCTGCCTAGGCACGTTATAAATATAGTTTATTAGTAATACTAGTTGTTCTTCAGGTTTCGGATCCTTATAGCTGTACTGATCTGACTTAGTGATACACATGTTGAGTAGTTTTTATTTCTGATGACTTGCACAAATTTACTAGTGCTTTGAAAACCTCTCTGGCCTTTTACATTCATATGGTAATATCTCTTTCAGTTCTTTATCTACATTACTGCCCAAATATCAGATGACTGCACATCTTGGAGAGAGATTATTACCTAGAAAAACTGGATTGAGGTTTGCCTGGTTTATTCTCACTACCTGCGTCATTCTCCTATGAGGTTTTAGAGCAACTGTTGTGATCTCTCTTCAAGTGTATTACATTTTTCTTGCACCTGATTTTGTGATTGGGATCATAAAGTAATACAAACAAAGTCCAGATGGTCAGGCTGTTTTGTAGGGGTCCACTGGATTTCATACCTGGCAGCTGTTGTCTTCATAATCCAGTCTACTGCCAGTTAAAATAGCAGAGCTGACAGAAAGCATTCCTGTCAAACACGCGTTCCTATTGAAATGAATCTGTTAGTTTTCTCTCTTAAGGAAGTTGACATTTCCTGTCTTTATGTTACCTGATGAAATTATTGATTTTTGTGTGTGATAAGAAAAATACAAGCAGATTAAACACAATACACATATCTGATGCACTAACATTTAACTGAAATGGCAACAAAAACTAAAAAAAATACAAATGCTGAGAAACAGATAACAGGGGAGAACTAATCAAGCTTGCCTATGCAGTCAAGCCTCTAAACAAGATTGCAGAACCACTCTGACAAATACAGTACAGAAACAGGCTCCTAACTGGTTCCAAAATGTGAACAATGGAAACAAATGTAGAAAACAGTTGGTCACTTCAATATACTAAAACACATTTTATAAAAACAAATGTTATCACTGAATTGTTTTTTTGAGCAAGCGACAGGGAAAGCCATCTCCTACCTGTACAGCAGAAATGGTGGTCACTGTTGGCAGGGAGGCGGGGGTGGATACCAAACTAATCTGAGTTGGTGTTTGAGGTCGAGTGACTGCGTTTGGTGGTGTAGGAGTGGCTCTCAGAGCAGAGGCAGCCACCAGATTAGATGGCACAGTCACGGTCGTCTGCTGGGGCTGAATGGCTGAAGACAGTGTCAGTGAAGTTGCTGGGGTCACCTGCAGGTACTGGGTGGTCTGTCCTCCTGGCGACTGCTGCACCTGCACAAGGAATAATGTAAACAAGCGATTACCAAGCAGCTGACAACAAGTGATGCTGGAGGTCCATGACAAGATACTCCAGCATTTTCTATGGGAGGAAGAAACTTGGACATCTGTGCCGATAAACCATACAAGCAACAAGCTAGTATCACTAACTGAAGGAAATTAGCTTTTAATTGACAGGGAGCAGGTGTGATGTTGGCCATCAACCACTGAATGCCCATTGGCATATGAAAACATGGCTCCAGTACCATATGTCCAATGCAGCACTGGCAGGAAAGGGGTCCTTATTTTGCTTACTGCTAGTGACAGGGAGAAGACAGTTCCTATTCAATAATCTGAAACTGAGATTTCAGCTTGACGACAGCCTGAAGTGATATACCAGCATACTGGTACACTAGATGGCATCCATATGTGAACATCTTCCTGCATTGAGTTCAAGTCCTAGAGCGGATACACGCTGGCAAGACAACTGACAAATGTGGCAGTCTCCTTCACCATGCAACAACCCAGCAGTACCTGCCACTCTCAGTTGAACCACCTGTAGCAGCAAACTTTGGTTACAATATTTCTACCACAGCTGTGGATACTGGGAGGATTTAGAATTGCTCAATAGTAAAATGCTGCCTACCCTAGAGCTGTCACCATGCAGTTCAATTTTTATTTAGTGTATGCAGTAAAAATCTTCTGCCTTGCTGAGAGGCTGATTTTAGTATTTAAATTTTATCACACAAGACATAACAACAAAAGGCATCTCCTACAGCAACAGCAATTCCAGTAGCACACATAGTGAAGGATTAAAACCCAGACCTATCTGAGAGGCTGGTTTGCCAAGAAACTGGCCATCTACTTCTCTGTGTGTCAAACCCGTGAGGTCTGTCTATCCTCTCTTTGCTGCCGCCTGAAAGGTTGACCACACTAAATTTCAATAATCCTAGTCTGGATGGCAAACTGGCAGAGCAAATCCCAGATATTACATTTAAACCCATGTCTCCAAACCTCCCACAATGATATACAGAACCGGGGCACCCATACTGGCTACACCAGCCTGCAGTTCTTCTGTGGGTAAGGTTATGGATGGCAGTGACCAGTGCAGGGAACAGGCAGCGACCAGTGCAGGGAACAGGCAGTGACCAGTGCAGGGAACAGGCAGTCACCAGTGCAGGGAACAGGCAGTCACCAGTGCAGGGAACAGGCAGTGACCAGTGCAGGGAACAGGCAGTCACCAGTGCAGGGAACAGGCAGTGACCAGTGCAGGGAACAGGCAGTCACCAGTGCAGGGAACAGGCAGTGACCAGTGCAGGGAACAGGCAGTGACCAGTGCAGGGAACAGGCAGTCACCAGTGCAGGGAACAGGCAGTCACCAGTGCAGGGAACAGGCAGTGACCAGTGCAGGAAACAGGCAGCGACCAGTGCAGGGAACAGGCAGTGACCAGTGCAGGGAACAGGCAGCCTTTTCATGAAAGAATTTAGCATGGGAAGTTTTCAGTGGCCACTAAAGAAAGAGGTGGAGCACACGTGGACATTTCCTGATTGCAATGATGTCCATTCTTGATTAACTCTCAGCTCATATAGCCAGCAAAATACGTTTAAAATCCAGCAAGAAACACACAATATAAGCAAACACCTTGCATCAACACACAACTAGAGAATCATTGGGGCTTAGATTCAACAGCAATACATACTCTGATATACCTTGCAACAAACACAGGTATGATTTAGATGATTTCAATATCTTGCAAAAAAACGTAACTGGAAACCATAATATTCAGCCCCAACAAGAAAAAATACAAAAATCAACACCTCAAATCAAACACAACAATTAAAAATATTCCAGAAGGTGTAAAAACTAGCAAACTTTTAAAAAACAGGGGTGGGGGGAATATCTGTGTCTCCATGACACACAACAGCCATGTCTGAGAACTGTCCCCTCGTCTGTCTGGGTTAGTTCGCTGCAAACACACTTCACTGTTATATGAAGTCAGAATCTGATCTGTCAATGAAATACCTGACTTCTTTAAGTTAAGGTACACCAAAGAGTTGGTCATACCTCTTCATGTGGTGGGTGGGTTTATTTAGGGTTCCTTTATATTTCACAACACATATGCAAGCTACAGTCCCTCCCACCAGCTTTTTTCTTCTTCCTGAGATGATTTCCACCTACACGGATTTACTGCTACTGAGGCAAATATGTAAAGCATTCAACTGTGGCCATAAATCCAAGTGATGATCATCATCCAATGCCTTGCAGAATGTCATGTGTAGCAATTATGCTTCTCCACATCTGTTGATCTCAGGCCAATTTTGATTTAAATATTCAAACTGACTCAGTCCAAGTAAGAACCCCGAACAGTGGACACTTGTTCATGCAAAGGCTGCTTGTTAGATGAACGTTATTTCATAGCTTTCCCCAGGAAATGAGGGTTCTAATGGCAAAAACATGGCATTTCACTCACCAACAAATTGTTTATCATTCTTAGGTTGAAAAAAAAAAAAAAAAACACACAAGAAGGTGAAATCAAACAAAGATTTATAATCAGCAACACTTTCTACATGTCTTCAATCACACAAGCAAGGAGACAAGCAAAAATAGTCAAAGCGATTGACAAAGAAAAGCAGATACAATATCTCAGAACAATATGCCAATAGAAACATCATGACAGCAAAACACTGACACAATGTGATGGTCAATGCCAACAGGTGAATGGCCTAGCAAGTGTCCTTACTGATGTTTGATCTATGTGTTTCTTCCTGTAACAGATGCCTGATCTATGTGTTTCTTCCAGTAACAGATGTTCGATCTATGTGTTTCTTCCAGTTATAGATGTTTGATCTATGTGTTTCTTCCAGTTACAGATGTTGATCTATGTGTTTCTTCCAGTTACAGATGTTTGATCTATGTGTTCCTTCCAGTGACAGAAGTTTGATCTATGTGTTTCTTCTAGTAACAGATGTTTGATCTATGTGTTTCTTCAAGTAACAGATGTTTGATCTATGCATTTCTTCCAGTTATAGATGTTTGATCTATGTGTTTCTTCCAGTTTTAGATGTTTGATGTATGTGTTTCTTCCAGTTACAGATGTTTTATCTATGCATTTCTTCCAGTTACAGATGTTTGATCTATGTGTTCTTCTATGAGTTTCTTCTGGTTACATATGCCTGATCTATGAGTTTCTTCTGGTTACAGATGCCTAATCTATGTGTTTCTTCTGGTAACAGATGCCTAATCTATGTGTTTCATCTGGTTACAGATGCCTAATCTATGTGTTTCTTCTGGTTACATATGCCTGATCTATGAGTTTCTTCTGGTTACAGATGCCTGATCTATGAGTTTCTTCTGGTTACATATGCCTGATCTATGAGTTTCTTCTGGTTACAGATGCCTGATCTATGAGTTTTTTCTGGTTACAGATGCCTGATCTAAGAGTTTCTTCTGGTTACATATGCCTGATCTATGAGTTTCTTCTGGTTACAGATGCCTGATCTATGAGTTTCTTCTGGTTACAGATGCCTAATCTATGTGTTTCTTCTGGTTACATATGCCTGATCTATGAGTTTCTTCTGGTTACAGATGCCTGATCTATGAGTTTTTTTCTGGTTACAGATGCCTGATCTATGAGTTTCTTCTGGTTACATATGTCTGATCTATGAGTTTCTTCTGGTTACATATGCCTGATCTATGTGTTTCTTCTGGTTAGATATGCCTGATCTATGTGTTTCTTCTGGTTACAGATGCCTGATCTATGAGTTTTTTCTGGTTACAGATGCCTGATCTACTAGTTTTTTCTGGTTACAGATGCCTAATCTATGTGTTTCTTCTGGTTACATATGCCTAATCTATGTGTTTCTTCTGGTTACATATGCCTAATCTATGTGTTTCTTCTGGTTACAGATGCCTGATCTATGAGTTTCTTCTGGTTACAGATGCCTGATCTATGAGTTTCTTCTGGTTACATATGTCTGATCTATGAATTTCTTCTGGTTACATATGCCTGATCTATGTGTTTCTTCTGGTTACATATGCCTGATCTATGTGTTTCTTCTGGTTACAGATGCCTGATCTATGAGTTTTTTCTGGTTACAGATGCCTGATCTACTAGTTTTTTCTGGTTACAGATGCCTGATCTATGAGTTCCTTCGGGTTAAAGATGCCTAATCTATGTGTTTCTTCTGGTTACATATGCCTAATCTATGAGTTTCTTCTGGTTACAGATGCCTGATCTATGAGTTTCTTCTGGTTACATATGTCTGATCTATGAGTTTCTTCTGGTTACATATGCCTGATCTATGTGTTTCTTCTGGTTACAGATGCCTGATCTATGAGTTTCTTCTGGTTACAGATGCCTGATCTATGAGTTTCTTCTGGTTACAGATGCCTGATCTATGAGTTTCTTCTGATTACAGATGCCTGATCTATGAGTTTCTTCTGATTACAGATGCCTGATCTATGAGTTTCTTCTGGTTACAGATGCCTGATCTACGAGTTTCTTCTGGTTACAGATGCCTGATCTATGTGTTTCTTCTGGTTACATATGCCTGATCTATGTGTTTCTTCTGGTTACATATGCCTGATCTATGAGTTTCTTCTGGTTACAGATGCCTGATCTATGAGTTTCTTCTGGTTACATATGCCTGATCTATGTGTTTCTTTATAGAATAGAAATAAAATACTAACAAGACACTACACTGATAAGAGGAGAACTATAGTGAAGATTGACAATATAAAACCAAAATTTAAAACACTTGATTAGAAATGTCAAAAGTAAAAAATTAGAAATGAGTGGCAGTCAACAGGTACACCTCTATTTCCCAGAGAAAATGCAGTTTTTACAGAAAGCAATAATAAAGAAGTCATCAAAAACACAGATATGACAAAATGCAAGACTTACTTGACAAAATGCAAGACTTACTTGCACTGTCTGTGCAGTAACTAAACTCTGAGGCAGTCCTGTCACAGACTTCTGTCCTGTCTGGACAGGATGCATCTGAATGCCTGCCGTGTTGGCATCAATGGAGGTAATTGTTGCAGTCTTGACAGCTCCCTGTCCCGATAAACTCAGGCCAACTCCCTGATTTGCTGTGGAGCTCACATGAGTTACTGTAATTGGTGTGCCTGGAGTTAAAGTCTGGCTGCCCGTCGTTAGGGACACCTATGGAGAAAGTAGAAAACAGCTAAAACATAACTGATTTCGACAAGACCACATTCTGCTATATTTTTAATTCCACTGAGGTTACTCACTCTGCTATTATCTTACTGAGTGCATTATTTATTTCTCTTGCCACTGATGCCAAGATGCAGTACGCAAAGGTGCCAACAAAGTGTAGCGGATATGTGGACTCTGCCCCTCTTTTGGGAGTGCTGCACTGATTGATACATAATAAAATAGTGTATGGTACAGTTCTGTCAACTTATCAGCATGAGATAATCTACCCTTGGGAAGAGGAATCCAGAAAAGAAACCTCAACCAAAGTCATAGGATGCTGACCAGTAATAGGACTATAAATATAAAACAAATTTACACATCAAAATGGATGCTGTGCAACACATTTCTAGACAGACATGTTCTTATGGGACGTGACCAGGTCTCATGCCGCATCCTTGGCCATGTCTATCTAAAATGACTAGAACTACAAACTGCTGGATCAGATCGAATAAGGCATTCAGGTAAAAACTCAGATCGCCATCTGCTTAAATAGGAGAGGCAGGGGCAGACCAACATGAAGATGGGCACAGGATATAAGTGACTCCTTGAGTACATGAGGCGGGATAGCTGGTGAGAGACCGAGTTTCTTTCAGGCAGACCGCGATAAGAGCGATGTTCTGCAAAGGACCTACTACATGATGATGATGATCTGCTTCAATAAAAACTTAAGAGACAAAAAATTTCTTATAAATATGATAAACAATTCAATGTAGGATATTTAACTAAGGAACAACTTAATGTTCACAAAAGTACCAGTTAAAGAAGAAAACAATAAAATCTATCCTACAACATGCCAGTCTCAACTAAAAAACAAAACTCACAACTGACAAGGTACCAAATGTTCAACAAATTCACAAAGAATGTTGAAAATAAAAAAAAATAAAAATGTTCACCAGCAAATCTGCCACAGAAACTTTCACATAAAATGTGAAAACAACATTAAGACAGTTTTGCACTGGGCATATCAGACCCACAATGGGCTACTGCTTTTGCTTGCAGACTTCAGATAAAAGCTCATTTGCTCAGGTCAAGAGAATACAAGCAAAAACATTTCCTTTTGTTTGTGAGGACATGACTTAAAGCTACCTGTGGAAATGATAAAATAGAACCACTTGGCATCAACACAGCAGACACCACTGGGATTAGCTAGAGATAAAACAGAGCCACCTGGCATCAATACAGCAGACACCACTGGGATTAGCTAGAGATAAAACAGAGCCACCTGGCATCAATACAGCAGACACCACTGGGATTAGCTAGAGATAAAACAACCGCTTGGCATCAATACAGCAGACATCACTGGGATTAGCTAGAGATAAAACAGAACCACTTGGCATCAACACAGCAGACACCACTGGGATTAGCTAGAGATAAAACAGAGCCACCTGGCATCAATACAGCAGACACCACTGGGATTAGCTAGAGATAAAACAACCGCTTGGCATCAATACAGCAGACACCACTGGGATTAGCTAGAGATAAAACAGAACCACTTGGCATCAATACAGCAGACACCACTGGGATTAGCTAGAGATAAAACAGAACCACTTGGCATCAACACAGCAGACACCACTGGGATTAGCTAGAGATAAAACAGAACCACTTGGCATCAATACAGCAGACATCACTGGGATTAGCTAGAGATAAAATAGAACCACTTGGCATCAATACAGCAGACACCACAGGGATTAGCTAGAGATAAAACAGAACCACTTGGCATCAATACAGCAGACACCACTGGGATTAGCTAGAGATAAAATAGAACCACTTGGCATCAATACAGCAGACACCACTGGGATTAGCTAGAGATAAAATAGAACCACCTGGCATCAATACAGCAGACACCACTGGGATTAGCTAGAGATAAAATAGAACCACCTGGCATCAATACAGCAGACACCACTGGGATTAGCTAGAGATAAAATAGAACCACCTGGCATCAATACAGCAGACACCACTGGGATTAGCTAGAGATAAAACAGAACCACCTGGCATCAATACAGCAGACACCACTGGGATTAGCTAGAGATAAAACAGAACCACTTGGCATCAACACAGCAGACACCACTGGGATTAGCTAGAGATAAAACAGAACCACTTGGCATCAACACAGCAGACACCACTGGGATTAGCTAGAGATAAAACAGAACCACCTGGCATCAATACAGCAGACACCACTGGGATTAGCTAGAGATAAAACAGAGCCACCTGGCATCAATACAGCAGACACCACTGGGATTAGCTAGAGATAAAACAACCGCTTGGCATCAATACAGCAGACATCACTGGGATTAGCTAGAGATAAAACAGAACCACTTGGCATCAACACAGCAGACACCACTGGGATTAGCTAGAGATAAAACAGAACCACTTGGCATCAATACAGCAGACACCACTGGGATTAGCTAGAGATAAAACAGAACCACTTGGCATCAACACAGCAGACACCACTGGGATTAGCTAGAGATAAAACAGAACCACTTGGCATCAATACAGCAGACATCACTGGGATTAGCTAGAGATAAAATAGAACCACTTGGCATCAATACAGCAGACACCACTGGGATTAGCTAGAGATAAAATAGAACCACTTGGCATCAATACAGCAGACACCACTGGGATTAGCTAGATATAAAATAGAACCACCTGGCATCAATACAGCAGACACCACTGGGATTAGCTAGAGATAAAATAGAACCACTTGGCATCAATACAGCAGACACCACTGGGATTAGCTAGAGATAAAATAGAACCACCTGGCATCAATACAGCAGACACCACTGGGATTAGCTAGAGATAAAATAGAACCACCTGGCATCAATACAGCAGACACCACAGGGATTAGCTAGAGATAAAATAAAAATGTGCTTACAGTGATTTAGGATCAAACTGGACATGATAAAAGACATAACAAGTCATCATTGCCCCTTTCACTGGCAGCCGCGTAAGCTCAGTCGATAGGAGGCCCGCTTTCAAATCCAGCTGTGACTCGCTGCAGCCACAGTCGGTATTCGAAACAGGGCGGTTCCTGGGGTTCACCCAGCCTCTAGGAAATGGGTACCAGAGTTGACACTCTGGGGTGAATGGAGAAATGTCGCTGTAGCTACAGAGTTTCGTGCGAACGGCGACACAGGCGGACAGTTTCTTATCAGCTGTCCGTACTGGTGGCAGAGCACTTATGGTTTATAACCATGTGCAATGACGCTGGTTCACATCTCCCGGCTTTACCTTTACTGGCAGAATAATGAAAGCAACAGCTTCATGTTGCTATCACCATCATAATGTCTGAAGATAATATAAATGCTAATGCCCATGACTGCAAGGAAAGTACATGAAAATGATACAACTGCCACCTACTGTCAGCAGAAACCCACCTTTGCCACCATCTGTGAGATGGGCTGTCCTGTAGCTTGTGACACTTGAGTGATGATTGTCGGCTGGGAATTGTGGGTGATGATCTGCTGAATGCCTCCAGAAGTTTTATTGACCAGGCCAATCTGATGCAGAATCTGGTTGCCACTAAGGAGTTTGTGGTTTTGGGGGATCAGCAGAGGTATCTGCTGGCCGGGTTTGCCTGTGGCTAAGCCTGATTTAGGCATTAACATAAGAGAAACTTATTTTTTCATTTTTACAGCTATTTTTTTAGTTACTAAAATAATATATGAGACAAAATGGCCCACAAAGGACAAATAATGACTCTGAGATGAACCCCCCCCCCCCCCCCCCCCCCCCCCCCCCCCCCTCCCCCCCCCCCCCAGACAATAACTGGTTGAGTGACTCCCTAACAATTCTACATTATCCTAAAGAAAATGAGCTAAATTATTCGACTGAAACAAAGATTTATCAGCTTTTCTTTCTGGACACTACAACAAAATCATAAATGCACCTTCGGGACCATTTCATGCAATCACACGATGTACAAAACATATTATTTTACTTTTACGCAGGTATCAAATAAAGATTACAACTAAACATGGTTACTGCCCCTTGTCTGCTAAAAAAACTAAAAAAAAACATAAGAAAAGAATGCAGTAAAAACAAAATGCCAAGGATGGATTCTAAACTCTGATAGTCCTAGTAAACATGCGTAATTAGTTCTTCACACAGAATCCCAATCATCACTTAATGTGCAAAACTTATTTATTTTTTAAACATTTGATCAGAGCATACTACAGTGATATTTTTTAACAGTAATTATTTTGGTCATCCTCTTCAAGATTATCTGTTACTGAAAGTGTGAATCAATAGAATTATAATCATTATTGTTGTTTTGGTGACCAATGACTAATTATTCTCTTTTGTTTGCTGACTTTTATTTGTAAAACTTTTTCTCCTCTAGGATTGCAGTCTGTAGAATTAACATCTCAAGGATGAGAATGAAACAGGTACAAATCCTGGAAACCCCGTTCTTCATCCTCTTCCTTCACTGGTTGTAAGCTCCAGCAGTGAGCCCTGGGTCTTCATCCACTGGGACTTTGGCTTTGTGCCAGGGCCTGAGTTTTGTGTGTACATCATTTTACTGGCTTATTTGTGTGCAGCTTGGTTGTTCCTTGCCGCTCTGGCAGATCCCTTCCGTATCTTCAGAAAAATCTGCTCATTCATTCTGTTGCACTCCTGCTTGTCTCAGACAGAATATCCACGAGTCCTTGTAATTTAGACATGGTGATGCCTGGTATCCACCCATGCCACACTTCTCCATTCCGAACTGTACGGAGACACAGATGGAGCACCATGTTTTGAGGTGCTGCAAGGAGTGACCAAAGGATCTGGCCGATGCTCTACTGAGTGGAAAGATGAGACGGACATACAATCAGACTTACTGGTACCATCAGTTTTGGAACTCTGTGCTTGCTGCTGAAGATCGGGACGTAACACTTACAAGAATGTCTTGAGTGTTATTCTTAATTAAACATTAAACACTTTCCATTCCAAACTTTTGGCAATACAGAGAATCACTACTGAATCTTCAAGCCTAGCCTTTGCATCTTGAAGTTATAAGTAAAGGCCCCTTTTCCATGCCTTCAAGCATACTGGGCATATAGGGTGAGACCAATCAATACTTGGTGGGTCACATGGTCAGCATCACTTCAGCCACCTTTACTTCCCAGGACTCCACCTGGTACCCATTCAAGGCTGGGTTGACCTGGGAGCTAAGGTCATCTTTATCTACAAGTTGGTGTCTCTCTAATTCTGCCATATTATTACACCTGTTTCTACATTCTCTTCCCAATGTGATGATAACCTGGTAAAACAGGTAAACAAACTGTGCTCTTACAATCTACTGACTTTATGCTCAATTCAGGTTATGTGGTGCCATTTCCTTATGCAAGTCACATGTTAAAAACATCACATATGACCTACCTGCCACTTTCTGCTGGGTGCCCGCCTTCCTCTGTTGTTGAAGTAGCTGCATGCGCTGCTGTTGTTGGATCTGGCTGACAGTAGTTGCTCTGGAAGCTAGAGGGTGGAGTGAAAATGTTTGTCAGAGGAGGGAAAAATAACCACCTTTACTGCTTGTACTTACCACTTTGAGTGTGGTGCAGGACTGTGAGCCTGGGGGATTCAAGGCAGCAGGGCTGGGGCGGTCAACATAAAATGTGCAGGCAAGAATTTTTGTTTTTGCTCCTAACAGTAAAGACTGTCACAACAAATGTGACTCCCTCTTCACAGATAACCTCAGCTTTTAAACAAACTGAACAGGATACAGACAGAATGACAGGAAACTGAACACAAACCTTTACTGTTAAAGTTATTATTGTATTCAGAAATTTGCTGACCTAATGTACAACTATAACTTGCGACTCAAAACTGTAATTACCGATTTTTAAAATTATATACCAGAATACTGGGCACCCCCACAGATGCTCCATCTCCCACAGCTAATGCCACACAGTGTAGATGCTGACTGTTAGATTTGTGCTCTTTGTCTCATATATCCTTTCTGTTAGATTTGTTCTCTTTGTCTCATATATCCTTTCTGTTAGAATTGTGCTCTTTGTCTCATACATTCTTTCTTGCTGGACCCACATTTAATTCCAAATTCATGCAACCTTATACATGCTGTTCAATGCAACAAATCTTCCATGAGAATTCATTCATAATTCAAAATGTCTGCCTTCTCCATTACAAATGTTCCTGCCATTATTGTGTTGATATTCCAAAACTTTGCCATGCAGTTTTTGAAGATAAGGTGCTGCTCAACAACTGCAGTTAACAAATGCATGCAAATATAGAAGATATGTATTGCAGTAGCCACAACAAATGTAGCATTTCAAAGAATGAAGCAATGTATTTGAGTCAACTATATAGATGAAGCATGAAATCTTGCATACATAGTCAAGGACTTTGGCTCAGGAGTTGTGAGTAGTGTCACCAATCCTGACATACCAAGCTTTTGAATTAATCAGCTGATGTGGTAACAGACCGCTGTGACTTGACTTTAGCAATGCTATGAGCACTATACTGTTCAGATAGCTATGGCAAACTACTGAACGTAAAACTGCTAAGCAAAACCACAAACAAGCCGATCGGTTCTGGAATTCCCAGTGTAGGTTCCAGGACCCTCTGTGTGGGAAACAAAGTACAGACTCCAAGCTGTGTGGGAAACAAAGTACAGACTCCAAGCTGTGTGGGAAACAAAGTACAGACTCCAAGCTGTGTGGGAAACAAAGTACAGACTCCAAGCTGTGTGGGAAACAAAGTACAGACTCCAAGCTGTGTGGGAAACAAAGTAGAGACTCCAAGCTGTGTGGGAAACAAAGTAGAGACTCCAAGCTGTGTGGGAAACAAAGTAGAGACTCCAAGCTGTGTGGGAAACAAAGTAGAGACTCCAAGCTGTGTGGGAAACAAAGTAGAGACTCCAAGCTGTGTGGGAAACAAAGTACAGACTCCAAGCTGTGTGGGAAACAAAGTACAGACTCCAAGCTGTGTGGGAAACAAAGTACAGACTCCAAGCTGTGTGGGAAACAAAGTACAGACTCCAAGCTGTGTGGGAAACAAAGTACAGACTCCAAGCTGTGTGGGAAACAAAGTACAGACTCCAAGCTGTGTGGGAAACAAAGTACAGACTCCAAGCTGTGTGGGAAACAAAGTACAGACTCCAAGCTGTGTGGGAAACAAAGTACAGACTCCAAGCTGTGTGGGAAACAAAGTACAGACTCCAAGCTGTGTGGGAAACAAAGTACAGACTCCAAGCTGTGTGGGAAACAAAGTACAGACTCCAAGCTGTGTGGGAAACAAAGTACAGACTCCAAGCTGTGTGGGAAACAAAGTACAGACTCCAAGCTGTGTGGGAAACAAAGTACAGACTCCAAGCTGTAGGGGAAACAAAGTACAGACTCCAAGCTGTGTGGGAAACAAAGTACAGACTCCAAGCTGTGTGGGAAACAAAGTACAGACTCCAAGCTGTGTGGGAAACAAAGTACAGACTCCAAGCTGTGTGGGAAACAAAGTACAGACTCCAAGCTGTGTGGGAAACAAAGTACAGACTCCAAGCTGTGTGGGAAACAAAGTACAGACTCCAAGCTGTGTGGGAAACAAAGTACAGACTCCAAGCTGTGTGGGAAACAAAGTACAGACTCCAAGCTGTGTGGGAAACAAAGTACAGACTCCAAGCTGTGTGGGAAACAAAGTACAGACTCCAAGCTGTGTGGGGAAACAAAGTACAGACTCCAAGCTGTGTGGGAAACAAAGTACAGACTCCAAGCTGTGTGGGAAACAAAGTACAGACTCCAAGCTGTGTGGGAAACAAAGTACAGACTCCAAACTGTGTGGGAAACAAAGTACAGACTCCAAGCTGTGTGGGAAACAAAGTACAGACTCCAAGCTGTGTGGGAAACAAAGTACAGACTCCAAGCTGTGTGGGAAACAAAGTACAGACTACAAGCTGTGTGGGAAACAAAGTACAGACTCCAAGCCTCCTTAACAAGCATGCCGTAAGAGTAAACTAATTAGGGGTTTTCTTTGAAGTCAGAGTGCATCTTCCTGAAAGGAAAGGAAGCAAACAAATAAACCAGATCTGTAAAACAGAGATTCAAAGACAAGTTCTGGAACAAGACTTATGTCCAGAAGTGGACAAACAACTGTAACTTTCTACTGCGGCCGACGTGAAGAAGAAAGATGACCAATTCTGGAACTGCTCTGTGATGTTCTGTGAAGGACACACAACTAACTTACACATATAACAGATAACAAGAGGTGTCCTTACCAACCACAGCTCTCTGCTGGGGCACTCCTATACCAGCTGCCTGGTTTGTGACCGGCACTGTGACCACCGGTGAGGCTGAGACAGATTTGACTAGAGCAATTGGGGTCTGTGATGTTGAAGCAGCTGACTGGCCAACCGAGGTCACCTGACCCTGGATTATTTGGGCTGTCTGAAGCTGCAACAGTACAATGTGATATAAATCCTTCAGTTTAGTCATATATATTTGAGGTATACAATGATGCAAGTGGGAGGACAACATCCAGAGAGGGACGAACAACAGTCTGAGAGAGTGTACATCTAAGACAAGAGACAAAGTAGTGTTGGAGATCCATTACAGTCAACCTTCACTGTGCAGACCACACCTGAGTGACTGTGCCCAAAATGTCTCTATCAAATGTCAAGTGTCCAAAGTCTTCATCATTGCTTATTTGTAACATAAAATCTATGACATAAATCTGTCAATATTTGTCTGTTCATACTTGAACACTTATGACATGTAGCACCATTTTAAGGAGATGATACTGGACCCATATTTTGACACCAGCGAGCACTCTATGGGTAAGCTGAATGTTGACCAACTTGAACTTTCAATGGTCTGGTAATAATTTATGATATTTAGTTGACCCCCAAAGCCACAATGTTCACATAAATAAATCATCTCAAGAGGGATCTGAACCCTGAACAACCAGGGCAGGCAGGTAAGTGTGCTGCCATGACTTACTACAGTGCTGTGTAAATCCTATACAACAAATAATCTATGTCAGTGTTTCCATATTTGTACAGAGCCTTTACAGTGAGGTGTGAGATTTCTACCTTTAAACAAAAATTAACACCGGTAAAGCATTGAGAATTTAAACAGGGAAACAGAAAGTGCAACAAATCAGTTTAACAAGAATATGATCATAAATAACAGCAGACACTGCCGTAAAAAAAATCCATATGAGCAAACACATATAATTACATGACGACATAGTGATAACTGTACAATTTATATATATGTGCAGAAGAGGATTAGAAATAGAAGTGAACAAGATGTGGAGGACATGGGGTGAGCTGCCGGTGACAGCAAAGAATGGGACATCTCAGGAAGAAATGGTTGAGAGCTATGCTCTACAGGGGGATACAGGGTAAAGGGGAGAAGAAGAACCAGCTAGAGTACTTACAAACCAGTTCTAGCAAAGAAACTAGAACCAAGGGGCAAGCTCTAATCTAAAAGACAACTTATCATAAAGAGAAAGAGGTAGTAATCAATTTATCACAAAGAGAAAGAGGTAGTAATCAACTTATCACAAAGAGAAAAAGGTAGTAATGAACTTATCATAAAGAGAAAGAGGTAGTAATCAACTTATCACAAAGAGAAAGAGGTAGTAATGAACTTATCACAAAGAAAAAGAGGTAGTAATCAACATCACAAAGAGAAAGAGGTAGTAATCAACTTATCATAAAGAGAAAGAGGTAGTGATAAACTTATCACAAAGAGAAAGAGGTAGTAATCAACTTATCACAAAGAGAAAGAGGTAGTCATCAACTTATCACAAAGAGAAAGAGGTAGTCATCAACTTATCACAAAGAGAAAGAGGTAGTCATCAACTTATCACAAAGAGAAAGAGGTAGTAATATTTTGGGCCACATTATGACAAAGAACTAATGGAATATGACATGACAAATGGCAAGATTTATGCAAAGAGAGAGAAATACAAAGAAAGAAGATTATTCATAGACTTTCATCATGACTTGAAAAGGCTCTGATACAAAACCTGGTATATGCTGGTAGAGATCGCAAAGTATGTGTGACCTAACAACTAAGAGATCAGAAGAATATAATGGTATCACTAGAAACTAACAATGGCTTATTTTAAAATTACAATCCTTTTCAATAAATAACTTTTGAAAATGAAGCTGATGAGGAAACCTCTCAACCATGTTTTCCCTACTCAACTATATTTCCCCATACTCAACCATATTTTTCCTTACTCAACCATGTTTTCCCCCAACTCAACCATGTTTTCCCCCAACTCAACCATGTTTTCCCCCAACTCAACCATGTTTTCCCCCAACTCAACCATGTTTCCCCCAACTCAACCATGTTTCCCTCAACTTAACCATGTGTTGCCCTATACATAAAATCTACACAAATATGTACCTGTCCTCCCCTGACCGGCACCAACAGCTGCTGTGTGATCACTTTCTGTCCCGGATGCTTCAACTGCTGGGCTCGCATCTGCTCCGTGGTCAGCAGTTTCTGAGCACGCAGCTGCTGCATACCTGTGGCTGTCTGTGTCCTAATGATGGACTGATTCTGTCGTAGAATGTTGATCTGTTGTGGTGTGAGACTACGGGCTTGGACCAGCTGCGGTTGAAGGCTGGCTGCTGCTATTGGCAGAGACATCACTTGTTAAAGTACACATATGAACAAACAGCTTGTAAATGTACACATATAAACAAACAACTTGCACACATATAAACAAACTGCTTGCAAATGTAGACACATAAACAAACAGCTTGTAAATGTACACATATAAACAAACAACTTGTAAATATACACATACAAACAGCTTGTAAATGTAGACACATAAACAAACAGCTTGTAAATGTACCCATATAAACAAACAGCTTACACAAACATAAATAGCTTGTAAATGTACACATATAAACAAACAGCTTGCAGACATATAAACAAACAGCTTGTAAATGTAGACACATAAACAAACAGCTTGTAAATGTACACATATAAACAAACAGCTTGCACACACATTAAAAAAACCAGCTTGTAAATGTACACACACAAACAAATAACTTGTACACATATAAACAAACAACTAATAAATGTAGACACATAAACAAATTGCTTGTAAATATAAGCCTTCAAAGAAATAACCTGTGCACATACAAACAACTTGTAAATGTACTGGTACTTATCAGCTTTTTCGCCACATCTCATTGACTGTGAGATCTGGCAGAGAATTCCTTGGTAGGTCATATAGTATGGGGGGGGGGTTAATTTGCTTGTTTTCTTCTTTTTTTGTTCGTCCGAAATAGATGATATATATCTGTAATGTCGCCTCCAGTACGAAATTCACTGACACTGTAATTCACTTAGCGACCCGTAAAGTTTGGCTTGAACCTTACACAGTGCAGTGTGAGGGATATTTTGCAGCAGGCCTTGAAAAGGGCCATCTTGGGCTGTCAACAGCGGAGGGCCCTGAAAAGGAGCGACAGTCTCCATGTAGACATACTTGTCAGTCAGGGTCAGGGGTAGGATTAGATGTAAAAATGCTGACAGGCCAAGGAAATTCACAGCGAAAGCAAAATCCCAAAGTAAGAACAAAGCTTGTAAACAGATTACAGTGATGGTGATGAACAAACAACAGTAACACACTGGAATCGATGACCAGATAAACGATGAGTATATTGAAAACAACCAACATGTGACATGCCTAGAACATAATGTGACATGCCTCAAACATAACAGTTTAGTGTTGTAGGGTTACTGTTAAATGAACACTGACTAGCACTAACCCTAATCCCTATACTACAGGACTTCAGGGGAACCACCTAGGTATTCCCTACCAAAATCTTGCAGCTGTCGAGATGGGGTTAAAAGGCTGAAAATAACCAATGTACACACACACAAACAACCTGTAAATGTACACATATAAACAAACAACTTGTAAATGTACACATACAAACTAAAACTTTGTAAATGTACACATATAAACAAACAACTTGTAAATGTACACATACAAACTAAAACTTTGTAAATGTACACATATACATAAAAACAACCCATGTTTCAGACAGCTGTCTTTGACTTAGACATCTGTGTGCATCTAATCTCAAAGTCTTGCTTGGCCTTCTCCCATAACCAAACAGGTTCCAGCTGAGGATTTCCTTACACATATGCCTGTCTGTGACCAGCAGTTTTGGTTTGCTGAGCTTTTACTGCCCACATTTGAACTGTCTTCAATTCTTTAATCCAGTGTATTCTCAGCTTCCCCACCCCTTTTTCCCTCCATTTCACCCCCCCTTTTACTCGAGCTGTTCCAGATCTTCTTTCTTTTTCTCCATGCTAATTTCAGTGTAACTGTTGTCTGTGCAGTACTTGCACTTAATTCTGATATTATTCCTTGACAATTTATTAGTGAATCTACATATGAGAATTGTATTACTGTCCCAACCTCTTTACTGCAATGTATCTACTGCTCATCATCATCATCAAGTGCCTTGTTGACTGGTATGGGCGATTATACAACTCCGCAATCTGCAAGCTTCAATTTTATGTATCCTAGCGTGCTGACACTCCTCTTTGCCATGTCAAAAGGTCTATCCCCCCCCCCCCCACCCCATACTGGGGCCTTGGAACCCACAGGGCGAAGGGATTCTTCTGTCAAATGCCTCAAGAAATTGTTTGGCTTGGTTATTACTTGTCCAGGATTCACAGCCATACACTACAACTGGCTCTATACAGCACGTGAGAATTCTTTTTCTATTTTCTAACAACATTTACTGCATAAAATGTAATTCTGTTAATTGTCATTAGCTGAGTCATTTTGTGCTTGTTTCTATATGTATGCAGACTGTTGGTTTCATGCCTCTCAAGCAGATACACCAAGACTTAAAAGGAAACCCCTGATTATTTGACTCTTACAACATGCTTGGGAGGCAGTAGCCCCCCCCCCCCCCCCCCCCCCAATAGGGACCTGGAACAAACGCATGGAATGAACACTGTAAAAGAATACAAAATAGTCTGCAGAAAACACAAATCATCAAAGAAAAGTTCTAAAATGAAGCATACTTCCTGTCATGGCTGCCAGCCTCTGCCCAACTGCTAGAGCAGACGATGTTACTGTGGTCTGTAAGGCAGATCGTGCAGCAGCAGCAGCTTGGGCAGCTGCAGTTATGGCTGTAGATGTGCCCGCAGAGCCCACAGTTACTTCCAGATCCTGCATGGTGATTGTAGGAGTGCCTGCCCCTGTGGGTCGCTGACCACGGATGGTTGGAGTCAAGTTGGCAGACACAGCCTTGAAGGCAGAAAGTTAGAAGCAATTAAACTTGTTTTATCTTGTGCTTGTTATTCATCTTCAAACATGAACTTCTAAAATGCGATTAGTGAATGTAAAATAAACACAAACTCAGAATATAAAGCAACAAGTAGTAAAGGCAGAGTCATTTTTAGTCAACTTGACCTTGAGAATGTTACTGCAGACAAACAACAAGTCAGTTCTGGGCCGAATGATGCGTCTGTCTGGTGCTGTCCTAAACGACGATAGATCACTAACTGCTTTACCAATCAGACAGTATGATATTTATACCAAGTCACATAACATTTAAGGAAGCCGCTGTGGTGTAGCAGCCAGATGCATTCTTGCGGATCTGAAGGTTAGTGGTTAAAATCCAAACTGAGCCAGACTTTTTTGAAGAAATAACCATGGCTCCTAGATGGATCCAGCCAAAAATGGGTACCTGGTACAGTTTTGGGAAGTAAAGGCTTCCAGTGTGATGCTGACCATATCACCAACCAATTGCCGACTGGTCTATAAAACAGGTCTAGCACTATATGCCCAATACGCTTGAAAGAATGAAAGGTGGTCCTTTATTTAACATTTAGAAATCTGTGCAGCTCAGCTAAAGTCAATCATGTCAGCCGGCACTTAAGTCAAGTTAGCCCAGCCAAGAGTAGGCCATGGCAGCTACAACTACAGTCAAGTCAGCCCAGCCAACAGTAGATCATGGCAGCTACCACTACAGTCAAGTCAACCCAGCCAACAGTAGATCATGGCAGCTACCACTACAGTCAAGTCAATCCAGCCAACAGTAGATCATGGCAGCTACCACTACAGTCAAGTCAACCCAGCCAACAGTAGATCATGGCAGCTACCATTACAGTCAAGTCAACCCCGCCAACAGTAGATCATGGCAGCTAGCACTACAGTCAAGTCAACCCAGCCAACAGTAGATCATGGCAGCTACCACTACAATCAAGTCAGCCCAGCCAACAGTAGATCATGGCAGCTACCACTACAATCAAGTCAACCCAGCCAACAGTAGATCATGGCAGCTACCATTACAATCAAGTCAGCCCAACCAACAGTAGATCACGGCAGCTAGCACTACAGTCAAGTCAACCCAGCCAACAGTAGATCATGGCAGCTACCACTACAGTCAAGTCAACCCAGCCAACAGTAGATCATGGCAGCTAGCACTACAGTCAAGTCAGCCCAGTCAACAGTAGATCATGGCAGCTACAACTACAGTCAGTCCAGTCAATCATGGCAGCTAGCACTACAGTCAAGTCAGCCCAGTCAATCATTTAGGAAAAAAGAAAAGATTCTTGTCAAAATCCTTGATTTATCTATAAAATTGTCAGTATTCCCCCATTTAACTGTTCGTCTTAGTCGGTGTCTGTGGCTTACAGGTGACAAACGCTCTTCGTAATATCGAAGTGTCAGTTCAATCCTAGCTGCAGGTAATTTTGCAGCCGACTGTCTTGCACTGGTTTAGACGAGGGGTAACAAGAGCAGACTGTTCAGTAAGCAACGTCAAACTGAACGTACAATTGGCCTATAATAAGCTTAAATTACAGGGTTTGTTTTGAAACATCCTGTAAAGGATTCGCAACTTTACTCATCCTAGGTAAGTATGTATTACTTTTGCAAATATTTTAATGTAATCGAGCTAGCACAAATATGTCCTGCCCAACTATATTTGTCTTCTAGTTCTTCTCTGTTTTAACTTTGAGAAGAAGTTTATTTAACAAGAATCTAGCTAATAATATTTTTCACTCTTCAAATGCATTATTTCATCCCTTTCACAAACTGGCAAATTACTCTAGTCATTTTTTATATAATACTGTAATCATTCTTTTAATAAAATTCTATGAAAATAAGTTTATTTTTAACAATGTTGGATTAAGTTTTCAAATTCTATTAAACTTTGATACTCTCAGAATTATTTTTAAAAGAAAATGAAAATTAACACACACACAAAACTGCTATATGAAGGCTGATATGTAACAAAAGATTCCCATGCAAAGTTATCTGTGGCTACTGCTGTGCAAAGACAGCCACCGTTTCTATTGAAATCTCATATTCTGTTTTAGCAGTGTAGAATACTCACTATTGTAGACGATAAGCCAGCAGCCTGAGACATTCGCTTGTTGATGGCAGCAAAAGGCCCCGACTGTAGCCCAGCAGGGGCATTAACTATTATGTTTCCAGTTGCTGCTCCAAGCGTTCTTGCCAGCGATACCGCTGTCAGTCCTGGTCCGACTGCTACTTTGGGCACTTGGTTAGTCTGTTCACAACACACGAACAATATAGTAAGTATAAGGCCCCCGTCTGTCCTCACTGTAATTATGAGTCAAAGAAAAGATCAGCTCTATAAATATTCAGGCTGGTTTGACAGAAAATGAAGGTTTCTGCCAAATGCCCCCAGCAGACATAATGTACATCACAGCAGCATGTGCTTGAAGGGTTAATGTGTCTGCCTCACACATCCTAGGACATTCCTTGGTGAGTTACAGTTTGCTACTCTCTCCCAGGTGAAAAAGCATCCTCAGTTTCAGCATTTATTCCCCAGTCTCCTGTCAGATACCAGCAACAGTGAAAATGCTATAATCGTGGTTGTAGTTCAGACATAAGCATGGAGACTAGCATAAGTTCTTGGAGTTAGCTGACAAAAAACATCAGTAGAACTTGCCAGCCATACATTAATCATGGATTAAATAATTCCACATATTCTGTCCTTTAATCCCAAATGAAGCACGGGTCCCCACCCAATTCATGTCAGTGCTACACCTATGACACTATCAATGTCCACCAGTTTGGGCAGCCAATAAAATCAAGCCCTGTTGAAGAAGCATGAGAACTAGAAATCAACCAGTGCTGTACCTATGATACTATCGATGTCCACCAGTCTGGGCAGCCAATAGAATCAAGCCCTGTTGAAGAAGCACGAGAACTAGAAATCAACCAGTGCTGTACCTATGACACTATCGATGTCCACCAGTTTGGGCAGCCAATAGAATCAAACCCTGTTGAAGAAGCATGAGAACTAGAAATCAACCAGTGCTGTACCTATGATACTATCGATGTCCACTAGTCTGGGCAGCCAATAGAATCAAGCCCTGTTGAAGAAGCACGAGAACTAGAAATCAACCAGTGCTGTACCTATGATACTATCAATGTCCACCAGTCTGGGCAGCCAATAGAATCAAACTCTGTTGAAGAAGCATGAGAACTAGAAATCAACCAATGCTGTACCTATGACACTATCGATGTCCACTAGTCAGGATGCTATTCTTGCCGGACGACTTATATGGTAGGGTTTCTAATCAATCACCTGATTCGGTACAGTTCTGTGCATGTTATATATGGCATTACCTCAGTCATTTGTAATGAAACTCCCAGCTATCAGACTTTATTTACCAGAGGTAATTTTGCTTATCAGGGGTATAAGACAATTCCCACATAAGTTCCACATGTTCTCAATTGTGAGATGATCCTAATGTAAACAAATGTGGTGTGTACTCAATATACTTTACTTGATCAGCTGTCATCAAGTCAATCCTCCAAAACTCCACTTTCTCATTCATCTGTGTCCCCCTGTTTGTGCCAAAGCTATTGTTTCACACATATAGCCAGTTATACTTACCAGGCCCAAGTTTGCTTTTATAACACCTGTATTCTGGACATGGAGCAGTGTCTCATCTTCATTGACATCTTTTTCTGGCAACATTAAAGTGTCTAAAAAACACCTTCTTTGGCGTATTTTTCTAACAACATCAGAGAGTCTAATTTGTATCTGACTTTCTATATTACTAATGCATACTGCCAAAACTTAAGGAAATTCATTGAATTCAATGTTTATGAGGTTGTCTATTTTCCCAGTTTATAAATATCAATGGTGCTTGAGGTAAACTAATAAGTGGATTGCATTTTACATTAAATAACCCAAATTATCAGGTGACAGGGGCCTCAAATTGTAATATTCCCATAGTTAGCCGCCAACCTAGATTTAAAAGAGAAAAAAAAAATCACTTTCAACAAGGCTTAGAAATGCACTAAAAATGAAAAAATGAAGCTGTCAGCTGGCTTATCCAATCTCAACAAGACAAAATTGGCCACTTATTAAATATGTTACAGGACATAAAAACATCAACATACAATGACTGTTGTTGGTGTCACTGAGACAATAGATGACAGCTGCTGTCCCTGGATGGTGGCACTGACACCTGGTGTGGCTTGGACAGGCCGCTGAGCTGCCGCTACTGCATCAGCTACAGCAACATTCTGCAACAAAATATCAGTGCCACCAGTAATCATCATTATGTGCCACAGCATAAGCACATCAACTCAAGTTAGTCTATTTCAGTGTTGTGATATTGATGAGCTAGTACTGGAGGCACTGTCAGGTAGGATGGTTATGCCCCTGTTAGGGGTCATGCCATACTAGAATTACAAAAAGACCAAGTAAACGGCAAATGAACCGAGACAAGAGTCAGCTCTTGGTCACTTGGAAAGAAAATATGGAGAAAGAGGTAAATGATTGGTTTTTGGCCCTAAAAGATATAATGTAGCAAATGCCACAGATATGGTCATTCAACTAGTAGATAGTGTTAGTGTCAGTTGTTAGATGAGGTAAATGTAAAGGTTTTTTTATATTGATGCAATTACCTTTTACTAATCAAGAAAACAGTGTTAAATAATGTTAAAACTGCTTTGTGGTTCCTGTGTTTATAAACTGTGTTATGGTATAAAACACTGTTAATGCAATTATTAAAATATCTTGGATGCCACAACAAACTAGTAAGCACCACCAACTGAAGTAACTATAAGTCTGCAACATAATAAGTTAGTAATCTACAAACTCAATGTGTTGGAGAGACAGAGACAGCCCATAAAATTCAAACCAACATGATGAGTTCACTGGCCAAGTGCAGACTATGATCATGCATAACCACCTGAGAACTTGTGCAAGAGGTGGGGATAAGCACTGCTTTAGTACACTTCATTCTGATGGATGATTTGGCCTTTACAAATACAAGGTGAAGACTGGCATTATACTGTATACATATAAAGAAAACCAGTTATAACATATTTAGAATGTCCCTCCACTGGAACCCACAAAGCAAAAGAAATATACAAAGATAAAAAACAGATAGTGAAATGAACAACAAAACTGAGTAATGTGAGAGAAACATATGATAAACGTGACATGAGAGTAAGGCAGAGGATGGCTTGGCATAAAATAACTGATGGCCTCGACACCTTTGCTAAACACAAGGTAGAGAGCCTTTCATCCCAGCAAGCCTTGGGGAAAAACCATAGTCCTGGGTATTCCTGAAAAAGAGATCCTTAAAAAAAAAAAAAAAAACATTTTACACAGGTCACTAAAGATGAAAACAAAATAAATTATAAAGGTCGTTATTAATAAATAGAACAGACTGGAGAATTAAATGGAAGTAATTCCTTAGGGTGACAAATAAAAAATACTAAACAATTTGGTGACTCATACTTGACCCCGTTGCTAGGTGACTACTAGGACTACCATGATGTCCCGTTCCTCTCCAAAAGTCATTTCCCACAAAAAGATCCCCCCCCCCCCCCCCCCCCCTCTTTAGTAAATATGATAATAACCAGGGCCTCCTAAACACTGCACAGGCACAAACATGGTGATAATTCCGTGACAGTTTTCGCATTTTGCGAAATTGTCGCTGAAAATTTATCCTACTTTTGCTGCGGTGTACTCGCCGGAAAGGAGTCCGCAATTTACATATGACTGAGGCCCTGTTAGGGTATTTTCTTAGCTTCGATAATTTAAGATCAATATTGAAAGAAAAAATTTTTTTTTAATATTATAAACAAGAATGTTAGTATCAAACTGAGTTATATTAACAATAATTACTGAATGTGCAATTAGCTTGAAACAAAAACTTACTGCTGCAATGCCTTGAGCTTGTGCTGATGCCTGCTGCTGCAATTGTTGCTGCTGCTGTTGCTGCTTTTTCTTGTCTAATGCAATCCTCTCTGCTCGCTTGGCTGCTAGCTGACTTGGCAACATGGTGTTGTCATAGTTGATGCCATGCTCAGCCAAGATGGTGGAATGCTTGGTCAGTTTAGCAGCCGGGCTGACAATCGTCTGTCGCATGGCTGCTGGTCTTTTGGCTCCTATTTCCATCATGGCGGCAAACCTAATATCAAACAGCTGGGAAAAATTCTTGAGTCCTTCCTGTGAGTAGAGCTGCTCTGTACGCTGGGGTCTGGTGTTTTTAGTCTGCAATAAATACCACACAAGCAAACTTTAATTTTGTTGCCAATGGTGGAACAAGTGGTCTGTGAGTGGTTTGGTAAAAGTGGTCTGTGATGGTTTGGTAAAAGTGGTCTGTAAGTGGTTTGGTAAAAGTGGTCTGTGTGTGGTTTGGTAAAAGTGGTCTGCAAGTGGTTTGGTAAAAGTGGTCTGTGAGTGGTTTAAAAAAAAACTGATCCGTGAGTGGTTAAATAAAAGAGATCTGTGAGGGATTTAATAAAAGTAATCTGTGAGTGGTTAAATAAAAGTGATCTGTGAGTGATTAAATAAAAAAGATCTGTGAGGGATTTATCTGTGAGACAGTCACTGCAGCTTGCTGGTGGCTAGAGAACAAGATACATACACATGTCGCAATTGTAACAGACTCTGAAAGCATGCTGAAAAAGGTGAAGACGGGATGCTTCGAGCAGATTGGCAAGCTCACTTGCAAGGTTACCGGTAGTGAGCATACTTTGGATTTTTTCTCCGGGTCATCCCTGGCCACAGGGAAAAATTACTGAGGGCTTATGCTCTGTTGGAAAATAAAGACAGGATGAGGAGAAGGAAGAGGAGCAGAGGACCATGAAATCTAAAGAGTACACAAGGAGCACACACACAAAAACAGCCACAAAAATCACTGAACTAAACTTCCTACCTTATAAATACTCTTAGGGGTTTTCTTCTGCTTCAGGTTGTAAACAATTTTCCCATCTTCTCTGGGCAGGACCACATATTCATACTGATATCTGCAATGCTTGGCTGAACGGAAAATGCGCCCTACCACACTGACAAAATCAGACACAAAGTCCCAGTTGACTATCTGAGCCGGATTATCAACCAGTAGGTCTGGATTGAGCTTCTGTATATTCTGTACAGCCTGAGGATTACAATAACACACTTAATCAAATGTGCCTGTTTAATTTATCAATTCTCTAGCCTCTCTCTGTTTCCCTGTCTCGGTCTTAGATATGACGTACTAACTGCAGCAGTGTAAATGATCTAATGTATCAATTCTCTAGCCTCTCTATGTTTCCCTGTCTCGGTCTTAGATATGACATACTAACTGCAGCAGTGTAAATGATCTAATGTATCAATTCTCTAGCCTCTCTCTGTTTCCCTGTCTCGGTCTTAGATATGACATTCTAACTGCAGCAGTGTAAATGATCTAATGTATCAATTCTCTAGCCTCTCTATGTTTCCCTGTCTCGGTCTTAGATATGACATTCTAACTGCAGCAGTGTAAATGATCTAATGTATCAATTCTTTAGCCTCTCTCTGTTTCCCTGTCTCGGTCTTAGATACGACGTACTAACTGCAGCAGTGTAAATGATCTAATGTATCAATTCTCAAGCCTCTCTATGTTTCCCTGTCTCGGTCTCAGATATGACATACTAACTACAGCAGTGTAAATGATCTTATGTATCAATTCTTTAGCCTCTCTATGTTTCCCTGTCTCGGTCTCAGATATGACATACTAACTGCAGCAGTGTAAATGATCTAATGTATTAATTCTCTAGCCTCTCTATGTTTCCCTGTCTCGGTCTTAGATACGACGTACTAACTGCAGCAGTGTAAATGATCTAATGTATCAATTCTCTAGCCTCTCTATGTTTCCCTGTCTCGGTCTCAGATATGACATACTAATTGCAGCAGTATAAATGATCTAATGTATCAATTCTCTAGCCTCTCTATGTTTCCCTGTCTCGGTCTTAGATACGACGTACTAACTGCAGCAGTGTAAATGATCTAATGTATCAATTCTCTAGCCTCTCTATGTTTCCCTGTCTCGGTCTTAGATACGACGTACTAACTGCAGCAGTGTAAATGATCTAATGTATCAATTCTCTAGCCTCTCTATGTTTCCCTGTCCCGGTCTTAGATATGACATACTAACTGCAGCAGTGTAAATGATCTAATGTATCAATTCTTTAGCCTCTCTATGTTTCCCTGTCTCGGTCTTAGATACGATGTACTAACTGCAGCAGTGTAAATGATCTAATGTATCAATTCTCTAGCCCCTCGTGTGGGTTCCGGGGTCCCATTGTGGGGGAAACAAGAATAGACCCACTGCCTCCCCAAAAGCATGTTGTAAGAGTCGACTAATTGGGGAGCTTCCTTTGAAGTCGGAGTGCATCTGCAGGAGAGGCAAGGAACCACCAGTCTGTATTCAAGAGAATGAGATCTGTAAAACTGATGCACACGCAACACTCAGGTTCTGGAGCAGGATTGCAGTTCAGTAGTGGACGAGCAACCAGAACCTTCCGCCAGAGTTTACAGCTGGTGAACGCGAAGAAGAAGAAGAAGAATTCTCTAGCCTCTCTATGTTTCCCTGTCTCGGTCTTAGATACGACGTACTAACTACAGCAGTGTAAATGATCTAATGTATCAATTCTTTAGCCTCTCTATGTTTCCCTGTCCCGGTCTCAGATATGACATACTAACTGCAGCAGTGTAAATGATCTAATGTATCAATTCTCTAGCCTCTCTATGTTTCCCTGTCTCGGTCTCAGATAAGACGTACTAACTGCAGCAGTGTAAATGATCTAATGTATCAATTCTCTAGCCTCTCTATGTTTCCCTGTCTCGGTCTCAGATACGACGTACTAACTGCAGCAGTGTAAATGATCTAATGTATCAATTCTTTAGCCTCTTCATGTTTCCCTGTCCCGGTCTTAGATACGACAAACTAACTGCAGCAGTGTAAATGATCTAATTTATCAATTCTCTAGCCTCTCTATGTTTCCCTGTCCCGGTCTTAGATACGACGTACTAACTGCAGCAGTGTAAATGATCTAATGTATCAATTCTTTAGCCTCTTCATGTTTCCCTGTCCCGGTCTCAGATATGACGTACTAACTGCAGCAGTGTAAATGATCTAATGTATCAATTCTCTAGCCTCTCTATGTTTCCCTGTCCCGGTCTTAGATATGACATACTAACTACAGCAGTGTAAATGATCTAATGTATCAATTCTCTAGCCTCTCTATGTTTCCCTGTCCCGGTCTTAGATATGACATACTAACTGCAGCAGTGTAAATGATCTAATGTATCAATTCTCTAGCCTCTCTCTGTTTCCCTGTCTCGGTCTCAGATATGACATACTAACTGCAGCAGTGTAAATGATCTAATGTATCAATTCTCTAGCCTCTCTATGTTTCCCTGTCCCGGTCTTAGATACGACATACTAACTGCAGCAGTGTAAATGATCTAATTTATCAATTCTCTAGCCTCTCTATGTTTCCCTGTCCCGGTCTTAGATATGACATACTAACTGCAGCAGTGTAAATGATCTAATTTATCAATTCTCTAGCCTCTCTATGTTTCCCTGTCCCGGTCTTAGATATGACATACTAACTGCAGCAGTGTAAATGATCTAATGTATCAATTCTCTAGCCTCTCTATGTTTCCCTGTCTCGGTCTTAGATATGACATACTAACTGCAGCAGTGTAAATGATCTAATGTATCAATTCTCTAGCCTCTCTCTGTTTCCCTGTCTCGGTCTCAGATATGACATACTAACTGCAGCAGTGTAAATGATCTAATGTATCAATTCTCTAGCCTCTCTATGTTTCCCTGTCCCGGTCTTAGATACGACATACTAACTGCAGCAGTGTAAATGATCTAATGTATCAATTCTCTAGCCTCTCTATGTTTCCCTGTCCCGGTCTTAGATATGACATACTAACTGCAGCAGTGTAAATGATCTAATGTATCAATTCTCTAGCCTCTCTATGTTTCCCTGTCTCGGTCTTAGATATGACATTTTAACTGCAGCAGTGTAAATGATCTAATGTATCAATTCTCTAGCCTCTCTATGTTTCCTTGTCTCGATCTTAGATATGACATACTAACTGCAGCAGTGTAAATGATCTAATGTATCAATTCTTTAGCCTCTCTATGTTTCCCTGTCTCGGTCTTAGATACGACGTACTAACTGCAGCAGTGTAAATGATCTAATGTATCAATTCTCTAGCCTCTCTATGTTTCCCTGTCCCGGTCTTAGATATGACATACTAACTGCAGCAGTGTAAATGATCTAATGTATCAATTCTCTAGCCTCTCTATGTTTCCCTGTCTCGGTCTTAGATATGACATACTAACTGCAGCAGTGTAAATGATCTAATGTATCAATTCTCTAGCCTCTCTATGTTTCCCTGTCTCGGTCTCAGATATGACATACTAACTGCAGCAGTGTAAATGATCTAATGTATCAATTCTTTAGCCTCTTCATGTTTCCCCTCTCTGTCAGAGATGCCACATACTAAACTGCAGCAGTGTAAATGATGTAATTTATCGATTTTCTAGCCCCTTCATGTTTCCCTGTCTCAGGTACTACATAATAAACGGCAGCAGTGTAAGTCATCTAAGTTATCCATTTCCTAGCCCCTTCAGGTTTTCCCTTTTCCTGTCTAAGATATACTAAACTGTAGCAGTGTAAGTCATCTAAGTTATCAATTCCCTAGCCCCTTCAGGTTTCCCTTTCCCTGTAAGATATACTAAACTGTAGCAGTGTAAATGATCTAACTTATCAATTCCCTAGCCCCTTCAGGTTTCCCTTTCCCTGTAAGATATACTAAACTGTAGCAGTGTAAATGATCACTGATGATCCAAATAAAAGTGTCACTGCAATCAAGCTGATTAAAAAGTAAACCCAGAACAATGATTAGAAGAAAGCTTGCTGGAGGGAAAGGAAAATATGTGCACAAATATAACTGATTGATTTGATTGGTGAGTCAATGGATAAAACAAAATGCTAACTAAACAGGCAACAAGGTCAACATGAAACAAGAAATAAAAGAAAATATATGGACAGGAAGAGCTATTATGGAATGAAATATGCTGTGTGAAATGAGATCAGTTTTTGTTGCTCCCTTTTGCCACCATTTCGTTCTTGCTAAGTTACGAGTTGAGTTATGAGTTGGGTTATCTTCACGGCAGTCCGGACACGTCCACAGGTGCTCCGATTCCCCCTTAAACATTTACATCAGCGTCCTATGGTTGATAGTCCCACTCCTATGTTGGTTGAAAAGACTTCTCGTGCGTCCGGTGTCCTTCCCATGCCTAGCTGTGACGATATCAGTACCATTTGCCACCAGCATGTTGTTGTTCACACCCCATCAAGGCTCCATAGACTGGTCTATACAATCTGAGCCTAGCATCACACACCTGACGCACCACTGCTGGAGAAGGGACCTTTACTTGTTACTTACCATTTGCTACACTGAATTTATAGGGAAACAACATGTAAAATAGTTTGGATATCTTGTGTGAATGAAGTTCCCTGTGTGTGCCTACAACCAAAGAAGTTCTAGCTATAGAAGACAACACAACAAGATCACATTTTGCTTCCATCAAAAGATACTTCACAAACAAGCTCTCAAGACAACATAACAGGTGCAAGACTGAAAAGCTGAGCTTCACATATGCTCTACAGCAGTTATCGAACAAATGTCACAGTCATAGATAAGTTATAGATAGATAATAGATTTTCAATTCTCAAATGTCAATAAACAAACTGCTGAATCTATTCATATGATCCTAGCATGCAAACTTTCCACAACTAACACCTGGAATGAGTCACTCCATTTCTGGTACACTTTTTGCTGAACGAATGGCACTCTCTGGCCAGACAATTCAATCAGCTAATAAACATAAACATAAACAAGGAGTGGGTGCAGGCAAACTGACATCAAGAAGTAACCAAACACACAACCAAATATAGCTAGAAAGCTCAATGAAGGGAAAGACATGCCCAAAATCAGCTGGTTGAATAAACATGGATCCATGTTGGGCTACAAAAACATTATATCTGCAGCTTTCCAGTGCATACCTCCAGAAGTGCCCACTCTTCATGAACAAGCCACTCTGGATAGTTGGGATCAGGCTCTGGTTTTGTGACGACAGGTGTCGGAGGCTGCTGCTGTTGTTGACCCAGATGTGTTCTACCTGCGATCATCTTGGCTGGCACCTTGGTGACAATAACAAGCCAATAAATGAACTTCTACATGCCAAACTGTAAATCAAATACTACTTTACTTCTCTTTAAATACAAAGGATGGTCATTAAATGAACGAGAAAACACTACAGATGGTAGTGATGCACAAAAATTGTGTGTATTCAAAATAAAAATTGAAACATTTATTAGTGATTAGCAAGGATTAACATCACAGTGTTCCTGACAGATCCATAGGTGCTCAGATCTCATCCTCAAAAGCTCCACAAGTGTAAAACGACTGATGACGCCTGTTCTGTGTTGATTAATAAAATATCTTGTCCCCTTAGTGAAATGTTAATTTCTTGCAGCTCCAGGCTGCACCCCCATGTCCATCAGCCTCGATATGGATACAGTCATGCCCTTTGATGTGCTCGACGTCACGGTTGGCATTGATAACATCACTTCTGTCCAGTATTGGATCAGCCATAGCAACCGCAGTGTCAGCAAGATAATCTGCACGCTTGTTTCCTTGAACATCTGCATAACTTGGGCACAAAGATGAAGGTTAGGGCAGTGATTCGAGAAGGGCTTAGTGTTGCAATCCATTCTTGCCTGGATTTTTAAAGCATATTGAGTCGCTAAGTATGCATGCATTTGTGAACTCCTGAGTACCAAGCCATGCTAATGCTCTTGTTTCAGCTATTGTTTCTACTATAAAGCTACTAGTTGTAATAGCAACAGTGCCATTCATCTCCCTGATGGTTCCCCCTTGAGTTTACTGTGAATGCCCACGCATTTCGCTTGCCCCAAATTACTGATACGCCTGTGTACACTACAGCATCACCTTCACACGTCAATCAGTGTTCTGACTAAAGTGTCCACAATGCCAAGAATCTGCTCTCTACAGCTTCCATTAAGTGTGATGTGGACTGTAATGTTAATGTTATCAATTAAATTCTAAAACTAATGTCAGTAAGGCTGCAAACATGTACAATGGTGTCCTCAGCGCGACCCATTTTGGATTTGCTAAAACATTTATGAATTATTCTTAACATGAATAGAAGACTGCAGCAGAAACTTTGACCACCAACACCAGACAGCATGAACTAGAGAATTTTACAGGTTACAATAGATCTTCTCCATTCATTGATGGTGCCAAGCCCAGATGAGAAAGGAAGAGGGTTGGGCATCATAGGTCAGCTCTCCCTCAGCAGTAAAATAATTATGTTACAGAAAATTGCAGACAGAAAGCTTTTCTGACAAATTAGCTTGTCAAGTGGTGTGTGGGGCACAGATGGCATGTTTCACCAAACACACACTGAAATGGGAAATGAAAAAATGGATTGAGGAAACAAGGTTGTCTAAGAGAAACCCTAAGATGAACGATGAGAGAGAGGAAAGGTACTGGACTGGATTCCGTCCATGATATTCAAAAGAATGCACATGATGTTAGAACAGAATAAGGAGACAGACTGTGAGCCTGTCTGATGTATAAAGTATGATGATATTACATTTCTGTTTCACAATTCCTGTTTGTGTTTATTTGCTTACACACAGACATAAAATAATTTTGTAATTATTTTTCTTCATAAAGTCAGGTAATAAATAAGCAATAGAAAAATCTATGCAAACATCTGCAAGAGATGGAGCCCACAAAGGTGTGAACCATGTGTATTAACTCTAGTCGATGAAATAATCCAATATGAAAGAAAGTATTGCCATCAGATGACACCTACCTGTAAATTCTGTCTCAGTCTCTGCATCTTGGCATCCCTCCTTTGTTTCATGACCACCTCCTTTGGCTTGTCAAACAATGACCTGGGAACCCGTGGCTGTTCTTCCTTGCGTTGTTTCTGCTTCCGAGCTGTAAAGAAAAGTGTCCAGGTTACAATGTTTCCTGTTTTGTAGGTACTGACTAATACTCATAGATAGGGGCAGAAGAAAGAAGTAGAGTTTACACTTCACTGTTTTATTTTCACTTAACCTGAGAACTTAGAAGTGAGGAAGTTAAGTTAACTGATAAAAATTCATCTAGTGGTACATTTCTCGCTTCAATGATAATGATAAAGCTGATAGGAAACAATGTTGAGCAATCAGAAACGTAAAGTAGAAAGCAGACATGTTGAAAATTCTGTTCATTCTTTAACGACTCTATGTTGCAGAACCAACCCCAGCAGCCCCTGGCTGTTGTGTGGTATTTCTAGGCAAATTTACGTCCAGTAGTTTGCTATTGCTTTTTGACGGTCGGCTTTCTTGATACAACTGTCGAAATTAACACAAGGTGCATGGTACGCAGCTGGGATCGAACTCGGCATCCTGGCATTTTGAAGCGTTCTCATCGACTTAGCCACAGAGCCAACAACGACTCTACACATTATGGTAATTGAAGAAGCTGATCATAGTCAGACACTTCAAAATGCACCAAAAAGGTAAAAGTTGAACAAGATATACTTACTGGTCACTGCTTCCAACTTTGGCTTTTTGTGAGTTTTCGGCACATACACGGGAGGCAAGGACTGCTCTGGCATCACTCTAGGCTCATAGAGGAAGGACAACGTCTCATCGATGTAAATATCATTATCATCCTGGGGTGGAGTTGGTGGACACCACATCTAGAAGGTTTAAAAAACACACATGAATTTGGTGTTGACCCCAGCTGGAAGAATGACTGTTTATGGTTTTTACAAAAAGTTGCAATGGTTGTTGGACTGTTTCTTGCTTACACTTCAGGGATGGGGATGGAATGCTAATGGCTATATTACCTATATTTCCAATGAGTATGAGAATGACTCAGCAGGTATGGTCTTTATACTAATCTCTGCTGCTGTTTTTGAAACTGTTAACAATGTATCAAGTTCAGATCTTGCTTGTGTCTTGGTGGCACTGATATTAACAGAACTTCCCAAGTGGGTTCTGGGACCCCATTTTGGGGGACAAAAAGAACAGACCCACTGCCTCCCTAACAAGCATGTCCAATCAGGCAACCTATTAGTTTATTTCCTTTGAAGTCAGAGTGCATCTGCCTGATAGATAAGGAACCAACATTCTGCCACAGATGTAAAACAGATGTGGGGGAGAGGGGGGGGGGGGGGGGGGGGGGGGGGGGGGGAAGAGACCAACCAAAATCCAGAAGTGGACTAACAACCAGAACTTTCCACCGGGGTTTGTACAGCTGGTGAACACTAAGATATTCACAAACCAAAAATCTCTTGGTGATTAGTTAAACGGGTTTCTTGCTTTCAGTGATCTCTGAAGACAGTAGATCTGCCCATCCCCAGTTGCTGCTGTTAGAGGTGACACCATGACAATGAGTTAGGAAGGTTGTGTGATCATGACCTTCATGCATGCATATATGTCCTTATGTGACAACACTGTAGATGGCATTCTTCAGCAGGTCAAGATTCATCTTCTCCATGGACTGTTCCCTTTTATATATATCTATTTTTTTAGCCCATCACTGGAGCATTCGAGAGATATTTCGGTGAGGGTAGCTACATCACTGGAACATATGAGAGATATTTCGGTGAGGGTAGCTACATCACTGGAAGATTCATGACTGAACCCTGGCTTACATCCCCTGTTTGACATACCACATCTGGAGGCTGTTCATGATCAGCTACCCGTGGACATGCTTAATTAGGGTGGGTCATCCCCCCACCACTGCAACCTGTAAACACTGGAAAGATTAATGGAAACAGACACAAAGAAAGATCCTTCTTGATTCCAGTGAATCAAGAGGTGAAGTAAACATGCTGGTGCTGGACAGGACACATGCTGAGAGAACCTGAGAACAGTATAACTAGAAGGGCTTTACGCTGGAACCCAGAGGGGCATAGAAATAAGGTTAAACCCCCCCCCCCCCCCCCCCCCATCCCCCCAAAAAAAGGAGAGAGGAGCTATAGAATGAAGTTAAAAATATAGGGAAGATATGGGGTGAGCTGCATGCAACAGACAAGGACAGGATGTGAGCTGGTTGATAAAGGGCAGAAGAAGAAGAAGAAGACTAATTAAACAAGAGTGCACCTGCACACAGACTATACTTACTGGCATCTCAGCTCCATCAACATCAGAAACAAACATCTGCAGTGAAACAAGAGGTATGTTGAGATGACTGTTCAAGCAGATTAATTATTGTAGACACTCTATCAAAGCCATTGCGGCCTGTCATTTACAAATCCCCATGTGGGCTCTGCAGCCCCATTTTGGGGATTAAACAGACCACTGCCTCTTTACAAACATTTGTCAGAGCCCACTCGTTAAAATTTGGCTAAATCAGATGTGCCGTGCTGGAAGTTGCAGATATCGCATCCCAGTTGTAAACCATAACACAATGTGCCAACCACCCTTTTATTGGTGAACTAAGAAAAAAGAGGAAGCAGAATGTATTCACACTTCTTTTGGTTGCATACGTTTTCAACTTCATATTTCACTAGTACTATATCACACTGAGAGACTCCCATCCTCCAACTGTGCTGCAAACAGAACTGTACTGATAATGGACATGTAGAGTTATATAATTTACCTCAACCTGTTTATAAAACTGCTCCAAAATTATTTTTTTTCTACCTGGTTTCGGCGATGAAATCTGTAACAAAGTTTCTCAATGTGGGGGATATCACACCCAGGGGGTGGGTGGGTCTTGATGAAAAAAAAAAATTCAGAGGCAAAGTTAAGGGCAAAAATTCAAGAAATAATTTTGAAGATTGGGGGGTGGAGGAGGGGTTGTGTTTGTGTGCATGCATGCGTGTGTGTGTGTAGGTGGGGGGATCTGTCTGTACTAGTTAAGCTCATAGTAATTTATACTGAATTGTCCATATTTATCCCTGCATTGTTCTCTTTGTTTCCAGGACAGGAGGACACTGCATGATCATTATTATTTTATTTTTCAAAAGGTGGCGGTAGGCTAAAGAGAAAGGGAATCTGGGATCTATAATATAAGGTTTGGTGGCATTAACTGTAGTTGAAACATGCACTTTGTCTGGCAATAAGCTGAATGATATGTAAGGCTTATCTGGCCGGCTCATCAGTGAAGTGGCAGGAGAAGCAGAGAAGACAGACATCGTGACCCATCAAACTTATCACAGGACAGAATTAAAGAGATGCAGCATGCAGCAGGCTACTTCATCACCCAATTTAGCTGCATAATTATGAACAATGTCAACAAGTCTTCAAAACAGTGGAGAAAAACACAATTAGCCAACAAGTTGAAAAAAGGGTCTCCCAACTTCACTGTGTTGGTGTGACACAGACAAGCAGATAAGAACAGCAATGCACAGCCATGCAAGGAATTAGATGAAACAGCAACAGACAAGACAACTTGGTGTGACAGGGTTGAGTAGCTATGCTCCACTGGAGAGTAAAAGGTGGAAGAATTAAAACTCATTTGAAGACAAGATTTGTTCTTCACTCTCCCAATAGTTTAAACTGGCCAGATTGCTCATTTAATGAAAGAATCAGTTACTCTGAGCTTTTGAAATGATTGGGAACTCAGTAACACAAGTGCGTTTTCTTGATCTTCCAAAACCTCAATTTCAACAATTTTACATTTAAAAATTCATTTTGTAAATATTATATACAATTCTTTATGTCTGTAAACAATCTGTAACCCCCCCCCCCCCCCCCACGCCCAAAAAAAGCAGCTGGAGATTTAAACCTATGACCATTGGGCTGGCAGGCAAGCACAATCAATAGTCACTGTGATATCGTGGTTCCCATTCTCTCAGCATCAATCTTCTATTACAGACTGGTTCTAGGATTTTATCTACTTTATTTTCCCGGTCACCCACAAAGTCCATCTTCTGAAAGCCCACATTTCAAAAGCTTTGATCGGTCATTGTGTCCTAGCACAGCATTGCTGAATACATATTTCAACTGCAGCCCTTTGAAATTTGTGTGCAGAGACATGGTTTACACCGTTTCATCTGATTAGTGATATTTCTTATCTCCAGACCATCATTCTGTTGTCTGGGCTGTATCATCTGATGTAGTAAAGCAAACCAAGTATTGGAACAGCTAGTCGCCCTTTTACAACACAAGGCCATCTCAGTCAGCACAAAGAAACATCTCATAAAAAGCATATTCATTCCAACTGTAGGCTACCAGTGCCAGACATGGTCACCCACAACAATCCAGACAAGTAAATTAGTACCCAAGGAAATAAGATTTTGAGAAGGCCTGAAGGAGTGACCACAAGAGATGAAATCAGGAATGAGGTCATAAGAGAATAAGGCGACACAGAATCAGTTCTGAATTACAGAGACAGAAAATAAAATGGTTTTCCCACTCAGAGAAAATGCCTTGTGACATGATACAATACAAGACATACATCAAAAGAGGAGATGGATAAAGAGCACAATGTAGACCAAGAACAAGCTGGAAAGATAACATCAGAGAAATTCTACATCACAATGTATCTATGGTCCCGGCGGCTGACCGACTTTCTACCCCACTAGGACATCACACAAGCGATGATAAACACCCGATGACACAATGTGCCACCATGCGGATGAGGATCACCGTGGAGAGGTCCAAGAAACCGCGTTCAGACAATTGGCCATAAATTTATGGCCTGCCTATATTGCGGCCCCTGGCAAAAAGCCAGGGTGGGGTTTCAAAGAACAAAAAATGTCGTCCTAAAAAGGACGCAAGGATTGGGTCCCGGCAGCCAGAAGTGGAACCTTATATAAATCTCAACATCCACTGTGGTAAAAGAGAAAGTGAAGAAAAACCTTGCATAGTTGAAATGGATCTTAGTGAATCTCTGCCTAGATTGAAAATATACAACAAATCTCAACAGAGAAGCCAAAACAAAGGCAAAACAAATTGATAGTCATTCTGGGCTGTACACAGGTTTCACCTATTGTATGCACATGCGACACGCTTTGCAATCTGCAAAAAAAAAAAAAGATACACAGTGAAATGGGCAACAATGTTGCAGAGAGGGAACTCTTTCTACTGAGGCACTGAGCGATATTGAGAAGCACAGACGGAAGATAGGATGGCACAGGAAGAAGTCACTATAAGAAATGTGTGTGCGATTGACAAAATATAGCATGTTCGAGGAATGGATGACAATACTGTGCATCAAAGCAGCTCTGCAGAGTATTCGTAACTTTGGACTGAATGCTCTGGGAATGGATGGCTTTTGAAACAGACATCGGGCAAGCACTTATTGATGAATTCATGCCCAGGTGGTATTTTTATATATACAGATGGATCTGTAGTGCCGTTAAAAAAAACTTGTAGGCTTCTACTGCCAAGAAGAGTGGCAGTTGTTTAAAAAAGAAAGCCTTGCGTGCAGCATCACAGCATCTAGCATGAGAACTGAGGTGAGAACAGTAACAGCAGCTTTCTGGTGCAGTCCGACATATGAGTGTAATTCACAGAGCATACATAAAAAAATATTTACTGGTCACAGCATCTAGCATGAGAACTGAGGTGAGAACAGTAACAGCAGCTTTCTGGTGCAGTCCGACATGTGAGTGTAATTCACAGAGCATACATAAAAAAAATATTAACTGGTGTCTTACACTCAGGGTGGTTTGTATCTCTTGGCAGGAATCAGATAAAAAGCATATTGTGGATTATTCTGCTTAGAATATTTGGGTGAGTGTGGTAACGAGCAGGTCAACAGACTGGCTGCTGCCAACCCTCTGAGCAGTGAGCTACTTAAGATAGAGAAGACTCAGTAAAGGCTCTCTGATATCAAGTAAACAGTGCAAGAGAACAGACAGCATCAATAGTTGTAGAGACTGATTCAGCTGGAAGTGAGCAGAGGGTCTGGATGATTGTCTACCCGAGGGGAACAAAACAAGCAAACTTTTCAAAATCAGGTTGCAAGCGGCTCTAGCATGGAAATCGCTCCATGGCTACTGAGGAGGGGGACGGAGTAAATATCCAATGTCCTGAATGAAGTGATATCACTTCTTGGTTCAATAATTCACTCCATTTAAAGTAAAGATACTGTTTTCACAGACTAGGTAACCAGAAATTATTGTGAACATAACTGCATGTAATTACAGACTGACACCACTGCTGAATTATGAAGCAGGAGGAAGACCTGGACTATGAAAATATCAACTGTGGCACCATAAAATCTGTTTGTCGTTGCAGATTTGGAACAGATAAAGATTAATTTGTGAGTCTGAAACCTCTTAAACAATATGATGTCACACTTTCTGAGAGTCACTGAGTAATGTCACACTGATTCAAGCTTGTGATGGATACTGCAGTGGGCAGCATATCTGCCTATCAGCTAGGTGGTCATGAGTTCAAAACCTTTTCAAGAAAAGTTTAAAAAAAAAGAAAAGACCTTGACTCCCAGGCAGACCCAAAATAAAATATTTACAAAGATATTTCACTGGAAGTAAAGGCACTCATCACAAGCCATCAAGTAATCAGTCTAAAATATGAGGCAAGTAGCATATACCAAAATTACAGCTGGTTTTTTGAGACGATATTTCTGATGTAAACTGACATCTTTATGTTTGACTGCATGTGTTAGCTGCTTCACCCAGCAGTGCTGGAGTCCATTCTACGTACATCTTCATATTCACTGCTGACTAGGAATCACCCAGATAAATATTACTATAACAGAGGGGACACAAATATATGATTGTGCTCATCTCTATCTGTGCGAATATAACTCACCATCACACTTGTTACATTAACTCAATCTATTGCCTAAATCAAGTTCTGAGCCTGTGTGTTGCTAGTTTAGCTCATTCAATAAGTTGTAAATATCTATTCCTTATACTTATAGTGAATCTTGCTGGACTAGACAGTTAAAGCCCTTAAAGTGGTTTGTAGTTTCAAATGTAGGAAATACTGAATAAGAAAGAAAGAGATTGGGAGGGAAGGAGGAGGGGGAGAGGGGGAAGAGAGAGAGAGAAGGAGATAGAGAGAGAGAGAGAAAGAGAGAGAGAGAGAGAGAAAGATATATGCAATACTGCAGTCTAATAGAACTAGAACATTTTATTCTCCTTAAACAGCCATTGCCGTACAAGAGGAACTGAAGAAGTCTACTGGAACAACTTTCAGATCAGAGATGTCGTCAGCAAATCCTTTGCTTGTTACTAAAGCCCTATAAAATGTTACTGCTTGAGATCGCATGCTGCAGTGCAGCATGACTACAGAGCAAACATATAGTTGTTTGCATTTCATATCTGGTGATGTGTGCCATTCAGTAGGTAATGGTGCCAGGTAATTTACAACCCCAGTATTGACTGACTTATAAAGAGGGAAGCAACCGGAAACCCAGGGAATCTTTCATATGTTATAACTTTAATTTCTTTCCTGTGATTCTTGTTTTGTGATAAAAGTTGAATGATGCACATCACCAAACAGGAAAAAAAAAAGAGGATGTTAATCCTTTGGTTTGTAGATTCTGTCAAATTAAACATGTCACTGATGTATGCGTGGAGTGGATGACACTTGAAATTGACACCATTACCTATTTGCAAAGCTCAATTTGGCTTTCATGAGACACACAACACAACAGAATATCAAATGCAAACACTTTTCTCATATCATCTCAAAATACAATTTTATTTCAGGTAAGAAAATCAAATCATACTTCTTTTTTTCTTCAGTTTTAACAAGTATTCAAAACATTTATCTGTACAGTGAATCATAAACTTACATAAAAAAAGGTACAGTAAATTGATTCAAAAGGTGGAAAGAAGCCATGCTTACTGTTTCCTTGCCATGCTAACTACATAAGTATCTGAAAGTACATTGTGGGGTTTTTTGTTCTGGAATTCTACAACTTTGCATGAGAACATTTATAACAGTTCCTTGTCTACAATATCTACAACATGGCGCTATGTGACCAATATTCGGAAATAAAACATTTCAAGGTTTGAAAAGGGTACATGTTTATGTCCTGCCCCCAGATATCTCCCAATCTAGTGTTCTAAACCAGTCAATACAGCAGAAGATGACCAATGAAATCAAACTCTTTTGTTAAACTACAAATAGTATCATAAGTTTGTTCTGGTTCTCTGTCATACAGTCAGCAGATAAAGAAATGGTGAACATTTCGCACCAGCTGATAGTCAGAACAACTGTAACTTGCTTCTATCGAAACTGTTATATTTCATATTATTTAATTATATTTTTTTTTATAAGCAACACTTATAGCACTGAGAATTTTTTTAAAAAGAGAATACACAATCGAGACATTCACATAAAGTTAACATCTTAAGAACATTAACTAGTGAACATAATTCTCTATCTACAAGAAGGCATGTATAGTTGAGTGGAAAAGACAACTTCCCCGACAATAAATAGCCAGCTTCCTGTGAGTTCAAGAAATTCCACCACACTCTAAAGTGTCTACATGTATGCTAACGTGAGATTGAAAAAAAAAAAAAAAAGATGCAGGAAGAATGTAACTGAAAGACGGTGGTGGCCATTCAAACTCTGTAACTGCTAAGAACAGATTTTAAGCAAGGATTCAAGACAAAAAAAATTGTTCTAACTCTTGACAACCTTCTAACCCTTTGTCAAAATATTTGCATTAAACAGCAGGTGGATGCAGACTGAGAAACTAACAGTGTGCATTTGACACGTCAATCTGACAGAAGTATGAATAAACTCAAACACATTGCCTTACTCCAGGCAAAAGTAACAAATAACCTGGTGGATGAGAGAAGACAAGGCCAAAGACCCAGCAGAACTTGACACACATGGACAAGACTGTGTAATCGTGAACACATGATGTTTGAAAACAAAGCATCAAACCCTGTCTAAGTAACAGTGTCTCAACAACTGAAAGTCATCTTATCTGTTGACAATTTTCTCTATTTCCCAAACACAAATGTATCAGTGCCAGACTGGAAGAACAATGTTAGCCATGTAACTACATATGTGTTTCTCAAGTATTCTTTCCCTCTGATCATCAATGTTGGCTCTTGTATGCACTGTACACAAGACCAAGTGGTTTTTGCAGCAGTTTTAAGCTGTCTGACCACATTTGAATGTGAACGGCCTGTGATGTAACTGCTGTAATTCAGACAGCACCTTGGAGCCTGGATGAGACTAGGTGTTTCAGGTGAGGTCTGGTCATGTGCCATCTGTTTTATTGACTGTGTTACCTGATATACCATTGATATTTTTGGGAGGCTGAAGCTGCGGCTGCTGTATAACAGCTGTCCCTTGAGGAACCTGGGTTAACAAATGTACTCTAGCTGTTTGTAATGTCTGCCCAGATACAGCCTGGACTAGAGAAATGGGGTTACTGACAGCTTGTAATGTGGCAGATGGATTCGAAGGAGCAGGAGCTCGAACTCTTGGAGTGATGAGAACATAGCTAGGCTGCCCTGCCACCTGGGCCAAGGAAGTCTGAAGTATTTGCTGTGATCGCACAGGCAGAGCAAGACCTGTATTTGTTTTTATCAGGTTGACAGTATAAGGCAGGGAACCTAAGCTTTGCAATGAAATTGGAGATGAGAGTCTGGCTGTGTAGGGTACCGTTCTAGTCCCGCCCGCAGCATTCACCATTGTTGCCCCGCTGGCTGGAATGATAGTCTGCCCACCACTGGCATTGAGAACAGTGGGGACCAGAGTAATGTTGGACATATGACCACCAACATTGACAGTCCCACCCTTAGAAGCAGCAGACACTACAACAGAAGACTGTCCTGGGACCCCTGTAGTTATAAACCTGGCTCCAGACAACCCCGCTGCGTTAACTAAAGAAACGGAGTTGATGAGTGTGGCTCCACGAATCTGGTTCATAACAGATGATCCGGAGACTATAGATCCCATCTGTCGGATACCTGTGCTGAAGGTGACGCCACCCAGCGTGGCTATATTAGAAGTGTTTGGGGTGAATAACTGAAAGATATTCCTATCTGGGGTGCCCTGAAGCTTGGCCATATTAGCAGCATTAGCAACAGAAGAAATGGAGATGGTTGGAGTGTTGGCATAAGACAGAGGCCGACTAAGTGACTGCTGCAGGACTGAATGTTGATGTGGTTGCTGCAGCTGTGCTGATGGCCGAGTCTGGGCAATGACAACTGGGGAATGCACGGCGGCTTTTCTGGTTCGAATGACCAGATTTGGATTGGACCACGGTGGTGGGACATTTGGATCAGCAGGGCTTTTTGGAGCAGCTAGTTTGGGTGGTGGTCTTGTAGGGGTACTAACCACACCGTTTGTAACTAAACTGACAGGAGCCAGTAGACTTGGTGTTTGTCCAGCAGCACTACAACTAAGTGAGGTGATGGTGATATGGGCCGCTTGCTGGGCCTGTTGTTTAAGTAGAGCATTTTTGGCCTGTGTTGCAATTTTATTGTTCAGCTTAGCCAGGGCCAAGCTATGACCATTTTGTAAATGTGAAGGACTTTTATCCTTAACCACTTTAACTTTTTTCTCAATGTGTTGTTCAGTATTTTCTGTACCTGTATCAGCTTTAGGAACTTTACTTTTTTGTTTGGGCAAGCTAGGCAGTCCTGTTTTTTGCTTAGCCGCCTCTGCCTTTTGAATTTCACTTTTAGGTTTTCTACCTCGTTTTTTGGGTTGAACATCCCCATTCTGAGCATTTTTCTTCAAACTATTTGCTACAGCTTTCAGTTTCTTTTTACTATCAATGGCTGCTGCTTTGGCTATCAGAGATTTAGAACTGTTGGCTCTCTGCACCGACACAGTCTTCTTTTCAGAGCTTCCAGAAACACCATTCAACTTTTGTGATGCCATCTTTGGTTTCCTTCCCCTTGGGGCGGCAGGTGCACGGTTAATGGAACTATCATCAACATCAGAACCGGATAAAGAGGTTTTGCACGGTTTAACCTTTGGTGCAGTGGTAACATTTTTCTTAAGGGGTCTGCCCCTCTTCACCTGAGACTCATCCCTGGAGTAGATGTACAGCATTTCATCCTCCTCCAGCTCCGCTCGTCGCTCCTCTTCCTCCTTTAGTGCTTTCAGTCTGGCAAGCTCCCAGTCCTTCTTGGAGTTTTGAATATCCTCCTAGACGTGGGCACAAGAACAAATATGTTATATTAACACCCCAAAAATCTAAATAAACTAGAACAATTTTAAATAGGTTAATCATTAGAACAACAGTATTTTAGAACAGTCCTGTCATTTGACAGAAGATGCTTTGTAAAGATTCAAACAGGAACTGCAATAAAAAAAATAAAAAAATTAAAATACGTGTCAACTGCGGCAAGGAAAAAGTGTCAAAGAGTACAAACAAAATAAAATATTTACATGCTGACATATGCTCAAATGCAGCAGTCCTTTAAAAAGAAATGAGTAACAACAAAGACAGGGTCCGTAGGGCCTTCTCATAATCTTGTTTTCACTTTTCCCTGAGTCTGAATCATTTTCTGGAAAGATGCTGTTAAGGCAGCAACCATTGCCTGTATGAAAATCTGATCAGATCAAGAAGCCAGCGGTGCCTTCTCCATGACCACCAGCAGCATGACGATGGAGGTGCTGGCGGTGACAAAAGCTTTCATGTGGCTGGGATCACAGGACTATTCCCGTAAGTGACTCTTTGAGCATGATCCTGCGGGTCGAGGCAGGCTGGTTACGCAGACAGTGGTTTGAGACATTGCAAAACTCTCTTGTGTGTGCAGTTACCTTTATATTCACCCCATGGTATGCAGGCGTTATTGGTAAGGAAAGAGCTGATAGAATGGCAGGTGCTGCATTAATTGAAGATGGCTGGCTCATGGATAACCCAGACATGTCACTGCCCTTAGAGAGATAGGATCTTCTGGGGATTTTGGAAGCAACGTGTCCACATCACTGCTAAGAAAAAGTGAATTGGGAGTAAAGATCAGCACAGCCAAGCATGAGAAGCACACCGGACGCACACGAAGACTCTTTCAAGTCTAGAAAGAGGGCGGGGAGAAAAGTCAAATGACAGGATGCGATAACAAAGCTTGAACTAAAGGCAAGATATACTGGCCTTACAACTTTGTACCGACTGAACCCTAAATGGAGACACCTTTAGGCAAGACCTAGTCTGTTCTGTTTCAAGAAAACAGAATTCTCTGGGCTATTTGAGGTAACAGAATATGCTATTATTAGATTTTGTGCACTCTATCAATGCTTCCTAGTCCTGTGATGTTTTCCTTTTGTAACCACATTCTTTACTACCTCTCATAACAATATTGTTTAGTCGGTGAATTTCCACTGCCTCGTTTCAATCATTTATTGTTTTCACTATGCCATTTCTCTCCATGAGTGTTTGGACAGCAATCGTGATTTTACTATTCACATACTGAGTTGGTATGTCTAACACTACCCAATGTCAGGAGTGAGAAGGTTTTGTGTTTTACAGGTCATGCACATCTCAGAAGGCTGTTGCTAGTCAAAGATGGATAACAATTGACCACTTATCATCATCAGCCAGCATACATACTCTTAAGCTGTCAACTATTTATGCAAAATGAGTCCATTCAGTCTGTGTGTGTGTGACAACACCAGACTTAGGACTATCATGACAGAGCAGCACGTGAAGGCATCGAAAGTAAGGACAAGGTGCATCTAAGACATCACAGTGAGAGAGGGAAGAGAAAAAGAATGTGTGTGTGGGAGATATGGCGAATAAGCATGTTGCTGCAAACACTATACATAACAACACAGTTTGAGTTGTGCAAACACATGAACTACAAATATTTTTTTTATTTATTCTCAGTTCTAACAGAAGCAAGGACTGTTTGTCACACCTAAGTGAGTGAGGGGACCATAGTTGTTGCGACCCCACTCAAGTGAATGGAAGAGTATCAAACTGAGGACTGACTTCAAGTTGTTTCTTTTCATTGTAATCATGTGTTTAGATTGCTTTAATTAGCATCAGCCACCATCTTACTTAAGTGATCAATCTCTAACATTAACTCTCTGATTTTAACTCATTATTAACATCCTCATTTAACCATCACAGAAACTTGAACATGATTTATTAAATGATATTTTAAACTTAACACCGTTCAATCTTTGTTATGACTTCACATTGCTAGGTGAGTGTGAAAGTTTAAAAGAAAGCTGAACTTAAACAAGTTAAGGCACCCAGTGCAGGCTCATTTACTGAAACAGGAGGGTAGTGTCAAGAAAGTCTAGATTTTGATCTTCATTCAATAAGTTTATATAGATGTGTAAACACCTTGTTCCTTCTCCTGTATGTGTATGTTTAGTCAGCTGATTCTATTCTCCGAGCCAATCTTCGGCTGTATCTGCTGATCCAAAGACTTTGCTTACCTTTATTATCAAGTGGCAGCTGTCTCCATTTCTCATCTGGATCTGGATTGTAAGGGATTTGAACCCACATACACCAAAGATACTGCTTATTTGAGAATTTGATTGTCCCGCAACAAGTTGTTCGTCCACCTCCGGACTTAAGTTCTGTTTCAGAACCTGAGTACTGCATGCATATCTGTTTTACAGATCTGGCTTATTTGTATGCAGACTGTTGGTTTCTTGCCTCTCCGGCGGATGCACTCCAACTTTGAAGGAAGCCCCCCAATAAGCTGACTCCTATGACATGCTTGCTGGGGAGGCACTGGGTCATGTTCTTGTTTTTCCTACAATGGGGCACCAGAATCCTCATGGGAAAAGTTCATCTTTAATACCAATCACCTGATGTTTTCATCATCTCATCTCGAGATGTTAAATATCACCTCTTGATGTTAAACTACTCATTTAAACCATCTCCCCCTCTCAGTTTTTTCTTGTAGTATGCCTTTCAGTAGTACATCATGTCTAAATGTGTTCTCCAAAATCTGATCTGGTTTACTAATCTTATTTATTATTAAATCGCTTTATTTTGTCCATATATACATATACTGACATCTTAAATTCTTTAAAAAAACAAAAACGAGAGCTGGTGTTCCCCTACACAAGTGAGGTGGAATTGGGCAGAATAGAATGAATGCTTAAAAAAAAACCAATAAAGAAGATGACAGAAACAGGAAATCAATCAAATGAATGACAGAATAGAATGAATGCAAAAAAAACAACGAAGATGACAGAAACAGGAAATCAATCAAGTGAATGACAGAATAGAATGAATGCTAAAAAAACAACAATAACGAAGATGAAACAGGAAATCAATCAAGTGAATGATTACAATTTCTGGCAGTAGCCAAATCTCTACACATCCGTAAAAAGGTACATAAAACATAATTTCACATACTTCTGCCATCTTGAGTTCTTCTGCTGTTTCTGGTTCCATCTGGGCTTCCATGACACCTACTGCATAACGTTCAATGGGTGTTAACTGAAAGGGGAAACAAAGTTAGATGAAAATGCACTGCCATAAAAAATTTCACACTGAACATACAATCTAAGAATTCACTTCTAGACTGGACAGCAGACATGCTAACTGGTGCTTACTTTGTATTTATTAAGCAAACTATATTTCAATATTTGTCGTCTTCAAACGATTAGCAGTCAATCAGATCTAAAGCCCATATATGCAAAACTACCAATTGCAAGATGGGATGCCTGAGAAAAGCCACCAACCTAACCATCCAAGAACGAGTGAATAATAATAATAAAACTATCAGACAGATTGTGGGAACAACACCCTATACTAGATTTGAGAAACAGCAAGATCAAGTGGTTTGGTTGTCTCGTTCGAATGCAGCAACATCAAATACCATCACTGTCATTACATGTCTCATGTTCAGTTAAAACAGCAAGAGGACATAAATGAAAGATGTGGATCGCCAACATTAAAGATACTTTACACCTTCACGGCATGAGAACAGCCAGTGTGGTGTGCCCTGGATAACAAATTATTCTTCACTACGGAGCTTAATGGCAAAACTGGTTTATGATGATAATAATACAATCCAGACACAAAAGTTATTTTTTAGTTCTAATGTCAAATCAGTACTGTTGTATGCAGCGGAAACATGGAGAACAACTAAGGCAATCACTTTAAAAAAAAAAAACTACATTCATTATCTGGTGCCTGCACAGAACAGAGGGAATTAAATAATATTTGATATTATCCCTAACGTAGAGCTTTAGGAGAGAACTAAACAAGTTCCGGTTGACCAAGAGGTGAATAAAAGATGCTGACACATTGAGAACATATGAGAACAATATAACTAGAATGTTTTTGCACTGGAACCCACAGGCGCAGGGAAATAAGAAAGGCCCAACAAAAAATTCATGGCAAAGGCAGCTAGAGCGGAAGGTGAAAAAAAAATAAAAAAAATGAGGAGAGCTGCTTGCATCAGCGAACGGTAGAACTTGGAGTGAGTTGGCTAAGGGCCTATGGCACATTGAGAGATAGAAGGCAGAAGAGGTCAATCAGTGTTCTGTTACTACATAGCACATCTCAAAAAGAATCAGAGCCACCCTTCAGACATTTGTGAGTTTCAACAATCCATCATACATTCATCACATCAGACTCACAACGTGATACATTCATTCTGATAAAAAATTAGTTTAAATGCCAAAACCAGAGTGATACAATCATGATGCAAACAGTTTGGATAACCACAAGCAAACACAGAACTTTCCCTGCATAAAACAAATACTGATATTTACTTCTTTGTCCAACATTGCCAGTTCAATCTCAACTTTGGATATATCATCGTCCTCTCTTGCTTCTGTCTCTCTCTCATCCCAAGGAATGTTTTCATCAAACTCTGCAAGCTCAGCTTTCTGTTCAGCTTGCACTTGTGTTGCTGCTTGTGCATCTGTTTCATCTTCAGCTTTACACAGTGCCTACCAAGGATAAAATACAAGTATTAGGTGCTGAACAAAATAACATTTGCTCATGATGTTATCTTCCACATCGTACAATGAACAGCTGACAAGTTACATTCATAAACAGGTCCGCCTTGCTTAAATCTTTAAATCCCAGAGGATTCTTACAGCAAATGCCCAAGGGAACGAACGATCACTTAGAAAAGTCAAAAAGACATAACTTTTAAACAGGCAAATTTTGCAGCTCTGGCCGATAGTTAAAAAATAAAAATAAAAGAATGTCTGTCCTATCAATGGCCTGCAATATTGCAGAAGCAATAAATATACACATAGAAAAAAAGATTTAAAGCATGGTTATCCATAAATTGTACTGATCAGGACAGATCAAACTATGGATTTCACAAGGTCCAGATAGTCAAAACAGTCTAAGTTATGCCTTTATTAAGAAGGAACTTGGTACTGTAACCAAAGTGAGCCCTAAAGGGATTTAAATACAAAAAAATACACGATAACTAACCAACCACAGTGCAGACTGGTCCAACTAACAAGGAGTAACAAGGAATATAACTGGTCAACACCAGTCCCACAACTGTAAACTCACCTGTTCAAACTGTGATAGAATAGCTGCCTCTTTCTTGTTTTCTTCTTTTTCAGCTCGCTCCCTCTCTTCGTTTTCTTTTTCCTGTCGTGCTTTCTCCTTTTCTTCCTTCTCCTTGGCTTTGGCCTCCACCAGTGACTCTAGCCCAGACGGTTCAGCAAACAAATCATGGATAGTTTGCTGAAAGACAAACAGCAAGCAACTTACTGTATAGTTTGCTCAAAGAAAGAAACAAAATATGAGGACTGAAATGGTTTTAAATGTTCATGCACTATTAGCCAAGCAATCAATGATAAAATAGTTATTAAAAACTGCAATTTAAATGGCAATTACATTCTTATGCAATAACACATGTCTCAAAAATGAAATAAAAGCCGAATGATCTAATATATAAACATGCATTTTTCTTGGAAGAAAGTTTCAGTAAAATAATTATCTAATATATAAACATGCATTTCTACCTCTTTGAAGAAAGCAGTGGTGAAATTGCCTCCTTCGATTGCAAGGTCACCTAACAACCGTTTCTGGTTAGCTTTCTTGAGTATGTTTTCCTCCACAGTCATCTCACTGACTAGTCTGTAGACAAGAAGAAAGCAAGATGTCAATACTCAACTGATTTGTTACTTTAGTACAAGTTAGCAATCTATATTAGCTTTCATTAGGACTGCCCCTACATTGTATACCTTCAAAAGTTCAGAAATCAAAAGGAAAATCCAGGATGAATGCTTCATGAATATTTAAGCCACTTATTGCACTCTATGTCTTGTTCATGTTAAAAACTATGAGAACAGACTAATAAGCAGTTCTTTAAATATTGTGTCTCACAGTAGGTTTTACCAATCATACCTACATACTAGGGCTGTAACGAATAGTGATTTTCACTCTTCGGCCAATTACGAATAGTGGGACCAACTATTTGGCCGAATACGAACACGAATGGTTTATCATCATCATCAGGTGCCTTGCCGACTGGTGTTGGTGATTTTGCCTCGCCACAATCTGCGATCTCCTGCAGCATGTATCAGCTCGTGTGCTGACACACCTCCATGACATGCAACAGGACTGTCAAGAATCTTCTCTCGTTGTCTTTTTCTATCTCTCCTTCCACAAATCTTTCCAGTGGTCACCACATGTTCCATTTTCACTCTTCTTATAAGATGGCCGAAAAATGATGACTGTCTCCTTCTGATATCTGCGATTAGTTGTCTTCGGGCTCCCGCCTCTTTCAAAACCTAGTGGTTGCTTTTTTTTAAGCTGTCCAAGGTATTTTAAGCATTGTTCTGTAAAACCACATCTCTGAGCCCTCAAAAAATTGTTTGGCCTGGCTACCGATTGTCCAGGACTCATAGCCATATGTTAAAACCGGATGTATGTAGCAAGCAAGACAAAGATATATTGTATAAGATGTTCTTTTTTTATAAAATGCAGTTTTTGCCTGTCCTATTTTGTTTTTTTTTATTTTAGTAATGCATCTTTCATCTGATTTTATCCATGTGCCAAATTCGCATTTAAATCATCGTTCGTTCAGGCGTTCGTTTGATATAGTTTAAATGCACCTCCATATTCTCGTTCGCAATATCTTCAATTTGATTTGGGAAAAGACACCCCGAAAGAACGGAAGAAGGCATGCTCTATCTTTCTCTCTCACACACACATACAGATACACTTTCAAGTTTCTTCACGCCTTCTTTAAAACAACAGTAGCGTTGCCTAAATCTGTCGTAGCGGGAAAAACTGCGTAACAGCGCCTGCAGACTTCTAGGCATTACAGCGGAGGTTCTAAAACTGGGTGCGTATGCCAGGGGTGCCGTGGCGAAAATCAAGAAAAGTTGGCTATAAATTGTGACATTATTAATGAGAGAGTTATTTCAGTCCATCGCAGTGTATGCAGAAATCACTATTCGTATTCGGCCCGACAGCGACTATTCGGCCAAATACCGAATAGCTATTAGGTCCACTATTTGGCCCCGAAGCGAATATTCGGTACAGCCCTACTACATACAAACATCATGAAAGCTTTACTCTGACACTACTTTCATAGTTCACATTGTATACACTTTTCAGCTCATTACGCAAGGGTAATCCACTGTGCAGTTACTTCTCCATCAGGTCCTTTAATCTCTCCAGCCCATATCTGTCAACTGTAATGGAGACTGTAAACTCAATTATTAACTATGGGAAAGACAGTAAGATACAGCATATATGGTTAGAGGAAAGTTACAGTTGATAGTTTTTAATGGTATCACTATCTGGCAGCATCAACCTGCTTTATGACTAGCTTAGTCTGCAGGCTACTAGATGTTACAGGAGCATAGACAAGAGTAAATAATAGAGCACTTGTGCTCAGTGGGTACCAGAACCAATGATCTTGGAACATCTCAGGTTTACTAGGCATTAATCAAAGGTTCTTTTATTTTATTTTCTGAACAAAAGTGTACTTCAATGAAATGAAAACCTCTATCGTCAGCCAAGGTTTTGCAATGGAAACCTCTTATCTTTCAGAAAGAAATGCCATGTTTTGCAATGTAACCCACAAAGAAATCATGTTTTGCAATGAAAACCTCTCTTCAGTGAAATATCCTAGGTTTTCCAATGCAAACTTATGTTCAGCTAAAAAATCCTTGGTTTTGCAAACTGATTTCTTCAGTATCCACCTCAGCCCCAAGTTACTGTTCATTGCAAAGATTAGGATAAATGGTATTCCATTTTGTATCCCACTAACATAAATATCCATTTGTAGCTTACTGCCATCATCTCATACTTTGTAAACACACACAGAGAAAAACATGTCTGACCAACCTGTATATGTGCACATCTCTGGTCTGACCTATCCTGTGACATCTGTCCTGAGCCTGAGCATCCATGGTTGGGTTCCAGTCACTGTCATAGAAGATGACCGTGTCGGCGCCCGTCAGGTTGACACCAATACCTCCTGACCTCGTTGAGAGAATGAAGCAGAAAATCCGAGGGTCTGCATTGAAGCGGTCCATCAAATACTGAAAATACAGTATAAAGAATTAAAAGTATGTGCATACGAGTGTTTAGAAAGAGGAAAATAGCAAAACAGACTGGAAAGATAGTGTGAATGCTGAATTCAGAATCAATATCACAGCCCATGGGACATTCTCATAAGCACCTTATCTTTATCTTCAACAGCAAGCAAAGAGTTCTAATCCCTATGGCACCAGTAACAGTCTGATAGATAATATGAAAGAACACTGAGCATGAACAACAGAAAATTATAATTTAAAATTCGGAACAACGAATATTTGTGTTTATCAGTGTTTTGTATCTGAAAAATATTATTAAAAGGGATCAGAAAATAAGAGAAGAAAGGAAGGAACATATGAAAATATGAAAGAACCCTGAGTAGAGACAACAGAAAATATTACATTCAAATAAGGATGAACTGGATTCCTGGAGTAAGTTAATTAATGTGTGTGTTAAGAGGATCCTGTAGAGGCTCCATTAAAATAAAGAACTAGCCAGGAATAAACCCAATGCAAGCAAACACTGAACTGACCTGTCTCTGCTCAACTTTAGTGGTTCCGTCAAGTCTCAGGTAGCGGTGGCCATGGAAATTGAGGAAACCTTCTAAAACATCCAGCATTTTGGTCATTTGTGTGAAGATGAGAACTCGGTGCTGACCGGACTTCAGCTGGCGCAGTAATCGGTCCAGGGTCTGGAGTTTACCTATACAAGGATCATTAAACAAAGTTTTCACTGTGAATGAATATCTTTAACTATACAAATGTTATTCTTATCATTGTCAATGAACATTTGTTTATCCATAAACATAATCAATTCTATCAGTTTTCAAGGAAGGAAACAACAGTGTTTTCAAACAGAGAAATGATGTTACATTTTTAATGTTACCAGAAAAGAAAAATAACAGGGGGAAAAAAACAATGCCGTTTCAGACAAAATGAGTGGCATCATATCGATAACAAGACCATGCTGGTCCACAGAGCTGCTACTGTGGAGACTTTACTTAGGAATTTACATGCAAGATCTTAACCCCCTTGCCTCGAGAAGCAGCAAAACCAACACTTCCGACTGGGACCAAGTCACCTAAATGTCACTTAACCAACTTCTTAACAGTATTTTAGAGACTCACAGTGAATGCTTTTTGGCTGTGAATGCCCCAGTGCAGCATTCAGAAGGTCAAGAGACAAATTTATTTACCAAAAATAGCATCCGAGGTGGTTTACTTGCGAATAAAATAATAGCCAAAAAAAAAAGGGCACTGCTACGTCAAATGTTTCCATAGCTTCAATGATAATGGCCACGAGGTCAAGGCAGGAGTCACACAAAATTTAGGGGGGGGGGGGGGGGGGCAGGGGGGCACCTAGTATATTCCATTCAATGCTTCACTCTTGTGTTTACTGATTACTTCCTTTATACATTTTTAAAAATTTGAAGAAAAAAAAGTTAACTAATGTGCGCGCGCGTGTGCCTTGGTCTCTCTCTCTCTCTCGTGTGTGTGTGGTGTTTTTTTTTTTTTTTTTTTTTTAAATAAAGGTTTTTCAGGAATTCCCATCTGTTCACGACCCATTTTAATTTTAAAGTGGTTCTGGGATAGCCGTGTTAATGAACACCTAGCTAACATGTCCTCCCTCAGTTTAAGCACAGACAGGCATCTATTTTGTAAGCAAACATTTAAGTAACAAGTGTACATACCACAATCATACTGTATAAGCCTGAGGTCTGGGAATGTGACCATTGTTCTTGACTGTATGGGGTGCAGAACGGAGGATTTCTCCACAATTACTGGCCGCAGTCGTGCTTCAGCCCATTCCATCTGGATCAAGTCAGACTGATTTGGGTGTGACACTCGCAAAGAAATAGCTGGTGAAATTACTGATGGTGTGACAAAAACAAACCTGCAGAAAGAATAATAACGAATGAACAACTGTGACAGGAGTAAGTGGGTCACAGGAGTCACATGCATGACAATATTGAGCATTCTCAATATAAATTCTCAAGTAATTCTAGAGCTGAGCCTTGAGAACTTCTGTCAGAGAAAAACAGAGAGAACCACACTGCTATCTTCACAGATGCCAAGTCAGTTGTCACAGCACAGAAGAGCAAAAACAATACAGAACTAGCAGACCTTGGGAGTTCTTGGCAGTCTGCTTAAATGATGAATATCATTACTGTTGATTCAGATCACATCCTGTTGATGGTCTACATCAGTGCCAAAAATAATCCACAACTTTTGATAGCCCAACTGTTTATGCTCTTGGAACAAAATTATTGTAGCAAATCTTCTTCTTCTTCAGCGATCTCTGGTCATGCGCATAATCCACTGTGGGTCATAAACTGGGATGTCTTTTCAAGGTCTCTTAGGTTTCCCCAAAGCTTAGTTGTCAGTTCTACTGGGTGTTGCCATATGTCGCTCCGCAGCTCCGCCAGGAGAGGACAGTCTTGCAGGACTTGTTCTGGAGTCTGTTCAGCACGAAGGCACCGGGAGAGGAGCTGTTTGGCTCATACCTAATTTATGTGAGTATTGTAGCAAATAAGCAGAATCAGTTTCATGTGTTCCTGCAACAGTACAGTCTCCGAACCATTCACACCACTCTCTTGACATTACATAATTTTTCCACTTGAACAATAGAAATATACATGCTTTTTTAAGTCAAGTTTGTAACGTCAATTACCATCTTTAAAGTCAGCCATCTCCTTGTTAAATCTGATCACTTAATGGCAGCACAGCTCTGCCTCTAATACAAAAACTATGCATATTTTATTTCTAGGAAAACTTGAGTTGTATCCCACTATAACAGATCACATTTTTTTTTAAAATATATTAAGATGAATTACCGAGACAGTATATCTTTCATCTCCTCCAACCACTCTAATGGGGAATGTACTAAATGTTGCAAATGAGTGGACTCTCTCCAGTACACATCTGGATGATTGTGGTTAATCTGGCGGTTCTGGGAGAAAAGACAGTTCACGTAACCACTGTTGTGCCAGCTTTCCAGGTAAGACACTGGTGCACCGGCAGGAGAAGATGGGTTTGGAGAATATGAATTCGATGCATCCAAAAGCCTGGTGCAGTCGATACAATGTCGTGTGTCCGAGCCGTAGACAGGACTGGCATCACATCTTCTTTGATTCAGTCGAGCCATGAGGGCCAGGATATGCTGTCGCCTTTCCACCTTTTTGTGATACAGTGATTCCTGGGGAAAGAAAAAACATGTGAATTAACAAGTCACTGTGATGATCTGCTATTTACTGCATTCATTATGTCTTTTTCACTCTTTAATAGCATAGGCCATCAAACAATAACCCCCAATTCATTGCAATCTCCCACAGCTCACTCACTGACGTACTCACATTCTTCATGTGTACCTTATCCTTACCTCCATAAGTTACAGGTCTGTTTTTCATCAGATGGGTTCAGAAAAAGGCTTATATAGATATACCAGCAACAGATTTCCTCAATGTTTGTCCCATTTAACACCAGTGTTTCATTAAAATCCTCCGATTTGCTAAAATGTGTCCTGCTCTCTACATTAGCCCTTCATCAGTGACTGCCGTACCATTCCTGCTATAAAATACAGGCACCAATCAATTAATGTCTGCAGTTAATTGTGACAGACATTTACTACGTCTCCAATCCACAGTAGCAGAAATTAAACATTCTATGTTTATTTCTTTGACCTCGATAAATTTTCCAGTGCTGTGAAAACTCCTCTTGCCCTTTGTATGCTTATTTCAACATCTTTAGATGTTCCCCAATCGCTTCATTATTCACCATTAAAGTGTATAATTCCACTGGTTGAAGCGAGGTAACCACAAAGGAAGACCAGATCACCATTTGCTTGGTCTATTCTCAGCTTCTTTAACTTTTCCATATGAATTTTCAGACCCAATTGCTAAACTTTCAATCCAATCTGCTTAATCTGCTGTGCATGATTTCATGTAAAACAGAATGGCAGTGGCCCTAACTGCTAAAAACAAATACAATGAAACAGCATGCAAATAATCAACCACTAATTCAATACTCACAAGCACAAGAGACACAAGTTTCCCATACATGTTTACACGATCAATGTACATAAGAAAAACATCTAGTAAGATATGCTTAAACAGACTAACCAAAAAGAGCTCAGACTTCTTCATGGGTCTTCTTGGTGATATTTTCTCTGTAGGTAAGTCTGGCAACTTATTGGTGCTGGCCATGGAGGTCAGTGGTGCCGGTGCCTGTGCCACTGAGAAGGACAACAATATTCAGTATTTTATGTTTATCAATGCAAACGCTCAAACAAGAGTGACATATCAGCAACTGACATGACCAATCATGCAATATAGAAATAATTACATTTCCCTGAGACAGCAGAATGCAGGACAGCATGTTTTATACCCGGGACAATGACAACATTATTTTTTATAAAGAATATCACACAAAAAGATCACTGCAGCCTTATAGACTGGGACAACACAACAGACAGCCCCATAGCAAATTAAACAGCAGCTGTGTGGAAAATGGATTAAAGTAATCAAGAAATTACTAATCTCCAAACATTAAAAGTAGGGCGTCCCGCACTTCATTATATACACACAATAAGCAAGGCAAATTTTATATAAGCATGAATACAGACTAAACATGTATATGTAGAGCAATAAACACCACAGGCACAACCACCTTTGAGAAACAAATGTTAAGAAAACATCTGTTACTAATATGAGTTAACTGTAAGATTGGAACAAGACAAGTGTACTATTTCTTGTGCAAAAATATGTAAACATAAAGCATTATGAGATACTGAAAATGTGTTTCAGGAGAAAGCAGCAACAAAACCATTAGACACTGGATAATGAGAACAAATGCAGAAACTATGGACAAACAGAGGGAGAACAGATGCTACCTGGGTGAAAGTCAGAAATGGAAAACAAGAAAACAACATAAAATAGGGAAGCTGATAATATACTTTTTTAAAAAAAGGGGGGGAGGGGGTCAATTTACCAAACAAGGAGATATAGACAGTGGGAGATGGAGACAGCTTTTCAAACAAGGAGACATAGACAGGGGTGACTGAGGTAGTCTATCAAACAAGGCAATTTCCATGAGGGAAACAGGGGTAGCATATCAAATAAGGCAATCTCTAAAGGAGACAGTACATCAAACAAGCAGATATCCACAGGAGTTGATGACAGTATATCAAACAACAGATAAAGACACGGACACAGAGACAGTGATCACAATATTATCACAATCATAAACCAACATATATGCAGATCTGACAAGCAGGGCACTACCTTGTACAGGAGACGACACATCTGTAGATGAGACCAGAAATGGAGATACTCTCATAACAGGTTTCTGTTGATTCTGCTGAAGTACTAACGCTGGACATTTCAGCAACGATACACCCGCTGACGAGGAAGCTGCTGACACCGGTGGAACTGTGGAATTTGCTACTGTTGTTGAAAAAGTCAGTGAAGATGGCAATGCTGTTGTGGCAGTTACAGTAGACAGTGTTGATAATGAAGAAATAGCTGATGAAGTCTGCAGGTTTGCTGTGAGAATCTGATGTCCTGAAGAAGTTTGCACTAGCTGCAAAACACCACCTGAGGAATAAAAACCAGACTTGTAATAGCATGTTTTATGCATGCATAACAGTACTAGTCATTAATTCAATGACTCAGTAACAACATTTGTATCAAACATACATATCACTGTAGGGCGTATAGGGCTAGACCTATATTTTTATAAACCAATCGGCACAAGATGGATGATGTGGTCAGCATCACACCGGCTGCCTTTACTTTCCAGGACTGCACCCGGTACCCATTCAAAGCTGGGTCGACCTGGGAGCCAAGCTCCCGCCAGGGAGCAAACCCCCGATATTCCGATCCACGGCGAGCATCTAGCCGCTCACATATCACAGTATCAATAATTAATTCAATGTCCTAGCGCACTACCATATAGTATATTCTGTGCAGACGGTTGCTTTCATCAGGTCTGCTTGAAAAAAATGTGGTCTCTCACGATTTCTCCCGCCACATGTATTTTTCTACCCAAGGTGTCATTTATATCCTGCTGGTCGGCCTCTTTTCTGGTAAGATGGGGTCTGTTATTATTTTTTCCAGTCGGCTGTGGCACTTTATATGAAATATTTCATTTTCTGAGAGACGATGCTACTTCCTTTTAAGACACCAGTATTTTTTTCCCTATCTTGGTCCATGGTATTCTGAGAATCTTTCTAGCAATTCAGCTCAAAAGCCCTTTTTTCTTCCATAAGGACTGTGAAAGTCCTCAACTCACATCCCTATGTTGCTACAGGGAAGATGCCTGCTCTCAAAATTCTTACTTTAATTTCCTTGCTGGTGCTAAACCATGATCATCAATCAGCAGGTCCTCTATATTAGGTTGCTCTCTTCACCACGCACCTCAAAGTCTTTCTCCAGCCAACTCTCCAGCCTTATGTGCCTTTGTATCCAATGCATCTTCAATGTCTTGTATCTAGCTTCACAGAAATTGGCCTCTGCCTCAGTTTCCACAAACAGCACCTTTCTTGACCATACTCTCCAGTCCACCACATTTAACATGGCCAACATACATCAGCTTTCTGGACAGGATGCTGATTATTAGCCAAATCAATACTTTCTGAATTGCTGACCACAAACAGGGGAAATCCACAGGTCACGGGACAGTCTAATATTTAAGGGGGTGGTAGATTAAGAGTATAGTTTAGCAATTTAACATTTAAATCGCAGTGCAGTTTAATGCTGTGCAGTTTTAACCTTTGTGTGCTTCTGTTTTGTGTGCTGTGCAGTTTTTTGTGTGTGTGCTGTGGACTCAGGAGAATGTGTCCCCCCCCCCCCTTTCCCCCCTTGAGGATGCAGTTTTTATTGGGGGGGGGGGGGGGGGTGCAGTTTTGCAGCAGGGAGGAGGATGCTGTTTTGCAATGTGTTTGTGCGAAACTATGTGCAATTGGCAGAATGCCTCTTCTAGATGTATGCTGCTGAGTTCATGAATTGACAATCAGAACAATTTTACACATTAGGAGATCTGGAAAGAGGTGAGGATGTGGCACCTGCTGTTGCGGTTGCAGAGATGACGAGACTATTGTTCTGGTGGTCCGTGGGTTAGGGTTACCATGTACATATGCCTCAGGTGGGAGACTACTGTTGTGCAAGGTTTGATGTTTGTGCTTATGATCGGGAGAAGTGTCTCTGCTTTTCTGCCTGGAATGCAGAATATTAAGCACTCGCCTGTTTTACGACACACACCACCAAATACACTCGTCCCACATGATTTTTCCACCTTGTAAACAGACTTTTATCAATTTCAACAGCATTCTTATCTCCACAGATCACAGCTGGATTCAATAATAATGTAGTGGCACAAACCTCCCATAAGTAGTTACTCTCTTCCATTTGGAGATATCCATGTAAACTTGTCTATGTTCTTGTGAGGAAATAGTGTTCCTCCCATAACAAGTCTATTTGCTGTGCAGAAGTTGCTAATTCTTTCTCCATTGTCATTAATTGTACCACATCCTTGTTTTTCCATTGATAGTTCTCAGTTCACGCTGTTGTTACCAACTTTTGCATTTCAAAATTTGATCTTCACTCCTTGTTAAGCTTATGTACTCTGCAGGGTTCATAGCCAAATTTACCAATCAATTTCAAGGCTTTTCAAAGTATCCTTAGGTTTTTTAAGGTTGTCTCAGAGTAATACTGAAACAAGGTATTTTTTCCTTGTTCAAGAGTGTTCGAGCACACAGGGTACTTCATTCATGCGCATACATGTGGGTATATCAGCACAGATATAGTGTTTTTACATTTTTCTTAAGACTTGGTGGCAGAGGGGCCAAACTGAAGTCCTATCTGTTATTAACTTGGTACCTGAAGGACAGAGAAAGAGAGAGAGAGAATCATACAGAGAAAAAGACAGTCATACAGAGAGGGAGGAAGACTGATGTGAGGTAATGTGGAAGAGACAACGTGAAAGACAGACCCGTGCAAAAATTACCTTTAAAGGTGCAAGTATGATACAGAAAGGTACCATCACAAAAACGGGTAATAATAAACTACCAGAAGTGAATTTAACACTTTTTTCTGAAGCCCATTCAAGCACGTTACCGTCACCTTACAAACTTGTGAGTAATAATTATTTCAAGACAACAGATTATTTCCTGTTAAACTGTGCAGAAAATAACAAGACAACTTACTCTGCAGCTGGGATGAAATCAGTTTTGCCTGGGCTATAGCTGTAGAGGTTGAAGACGATGAAATGGAAGACAATGGCAAGAAGAATGTTGGACCTGATCCACTGGGATTGGGAATTAATACGGTCTGCTGCGTTGCTGATGATGATGATGACGTAGCAGGCAGCAGCAGCTTGATGCTATTTACAGTTGCTGAAAAAAATAAACAGAACAGGCTATGTTACAAACATGGCTCTCTAATGTTTCTACTGATCTGAAGAGGTTTGTTAGGTTAAAAACACTGAAATCTCCAGCCAAAAATCAAGTCTTCAATGCTAGTCTTGTGTCTAGGCTATCCTAGACTTCCAATTATGCTTGCAAAGTTCAGCGTATTTCTCTTGTGACATGTCTTCTTCTGATTATCAATGAACTGACTGCTCTTGAATCTGGTTGTTTGAATCTAGCTGCTCACCAAGAGTTTCCGACAAGGCACAAACTCCACATCTGTAGCAACAACAACCAAAAGATCTCCGTAAAAACTGCACTCATGAAACAACTGAGCTAGACCCTAGATGTGAAAGCAGCTACTAATTACACATGCTCCACTGTCTGCTACTCATGCATTATCTACTGTGTGCTGATAGAAGTAAACTGACCATCTGCCAGAGTGTACTTTGTCAATATAATGTAAACATTGTGTTCCCCCCCCCCCCCCCCCCACAAAATTTACATCCTTGCTTTACTACATACAGATGGTCTAATTAAAGAGGTTTACGCAGGTTTAACTATTCAATTTCAATCTCCCTCCTCCCACCAACACACATCTAACATCCCAAATGTAGTGCAGTTTGCATGTTTTGAGATAAAAGTTGGCATAAAACCATGCTTTATAATACCCATTGTGTGTTCCCTGCCAGTCCCTGCCAAAACATTTAGGATCAAATACATGTCATTCACAAGTTGCCTCAAGTAAGACTAATACGCCTCCCTTGTGTTGTTTTGTTTCACTACACCCCACTAATACACACAGCATGCAAGTCATTAACTTACATGGGGTAGACTGCACTGTTGACAGTGTCAGCTTGACAGTTGTCAGCGGTGAAGCAGGCCTGGGTTGTGTACCTGTGACGGTGGTCACCACACAGGATGATCTTCCCGTCTGAGAAAAAAAGAAAGAAAGGCAGTGTCAATATGTATATATGGGGAGGGAGAGAAAGAGTCCTACCTAGCATTCAGATCCTGATCATGTACCCTGCCTTTGAAGCACTGACCACACTAACAATGGCTAGATGTCCCAGGCTGCCAACACTCTTCCATTTTATAGTCAGTGATAGTTCACATGTCGATGAAGCACCTTGACTGAAGATCTGTCTTTTCCCTACAATATGTACCATCCAGATATGTCCATACACATCCTTTAACTTTAGAATGAATAGATGACCCAGAACTTCTTCCAGAAAGTTCTCAATTATTCAGAAATGCCACAACATAAACTAACCAAAAAAATACCAGCCCACATGCAAGATGGCCAAAATTTGTAACTGCTAAACAAGGAATCAATCAAACGCTGACCGATGATTTAGGAATACTTAACCCATAATTTGGGTTCCAGCTCTGCCCCATTTTAAACTAGATACATCATCATCAAACTGCTTGTCTTTTACATAATACGGTGCTCACAGCACACCTGAAAGTCTTTGTCCAGTCAAATCTCCAGCCCCATGTGTTTCCATATCCAATGTGTCTTCACTGAGGCTGGCTTCTGTCTGGTTTTCCAGAAATGGCACCTTCCATCATTATTCTCTTCTTAAACTAGATATAGGTAAATATAAAATTGTCCTTGACTGTCAATGACATTTCTGTTAACTGAATAACAATCTAAAAGCAATTTTTTTTTAAAGTGAATTATACTGCAATGATGTACACAAGACTTCATCGTAATTGTCATAGCCCTGTGGGACAGAGTATAGACAATACGACGTGTAACTTCATGTTTGTGTTTGACGGACCAAAAAGTGCACCAGCGGTCAGCCAGTTGATTTGACGATATGGGGAAAACCCGAGATGGCTTGAACACTGGTGCAACGTACACGTTTGACCCGAAGCTGAACGGTGAGAGAAGGAGGAGAGCGGTTAGAATGGATGTGTGAGGCTGAAGACATTTAGAGACGTGATTGTATTTTGTTAGGAATTGAAAGATAGGTTGTGTTAGAGTTGTCATCATATGTGTTGGTTAGCTGTTGGTATTCCTCGTGTGCTTATAGTATACTAAGACAGTTGTGTTGGGGTTGTCTCATGCTTAGGTAGGTGTTCTTGTCCCTGGGTTATTAGGGGTAAGCTGCGTTTTGTGCTGGCGTTGACATTGCCCACTAATATACTTGAACCACTCACCCTGCATGTGCCACTAAGTCTCGCATGGCGAAGATCGTAGCCTAGTTAGCGCTGCACTACAGGAGGTGGAATCGTGTCTTCTGGTACATCCATGGGAATGGCTCGGGGTGGATAAGTAAATATAAATGCTGCCACTGCGGGAGTTTCGGATAAGGGACTGTCCATAACTGTGGAGGTTGCTTTAGGTTGTGTTGTTCTTTGTTCATTAAAGATGATGTGTGTGCTCCATAGGTGTGTGTTTTGAGTGTGTTCTAGTATAGTGTGTCTGTCACAGGGCCGTACAACGAGCCCTAGTTAAGTAGTATAGATACCACGTCCTTGACAGTAATATATTCTATCACATGGATAATATTTCAACGGTCAAGTCCTGAGGCTTAAGCTTGTGAGTGCATATCACAATCCCAAGTTACAGGGGTTCAAAGTCGTTTGCAAGCAAAATGGTAATCTTTGATTCTGACATTAATACTGATTGCCATTCAAAAAGAAAGACAAACTACAGCAAGAAAAGCAAATTAAAAAATATGGTAGCCATAAATCACACGCTTTCCAATGAAATATGGCTTATTTTTGCTTTCCCCTTACTGCCCCACATTTCAAGGACTGCGGTTTGTTTAGAAAAAAAAAAAAAAATTCAAGGGTTAGGACCCTAATGCCTAAGTTTCTATTTCAGGTTGCAAGGCTGCGAGTCCTTAAGATTAAAAAAAGAAATAACAGTCATGTCTTGAAAAAAAAAAAAAGGTAATATGCACAGATAATTAAAAGGGATTCATGATAAGAAAGCAAGCTGACGAAAGAATGCTGTAAGCATTGCCAGTGTCTTACCTCTAACACTGGTGGTAGTGGAGCTTTAAAATTTTTCAACTGCCCTGATGGCAGACGCGGTGGAGGTTCTGGTATACTGTCAACTTCCTGAATCAGTTTGCCAGTAGCTTTCAACTGCTTGATTCTCTGGGCTACAAAAGCTGGGAGATCTTTTTCCATCTCAGCCAAATTCGGGTACAAGGTTCGGATGTCAATGCTCTATAAAGGAGGAAAAATACAGAAAATATAAGCAATACACTGAGTTATGACATAATACCTTGGAAGTTACTCTGCTTACCATTATCATGCTCACTGATTATCCTGATAGTCAGTGTACTACTTTCATGCACTGCATATCGGGTGGTGGCAGTAACAAGTTCCACCACATTAAGTCATGTGTTATAATTCCCAAGAAGAGAAAGACAAACACCTTGGATGTGAGACTGGAAATGACAGAAGGTGAGACCTGCCAAACAAGCCAAACAAGGAAATTAGCAATCATTCACAATAAAGCTAGAAAGGGCTTTTTCAGTGCTAAAGACCAAAGCCAAATGTGCATAAAACTGGACTGCAAAGGGAAAGATACTATTCTCTGTGTGTCTGTGTTCATCCTTAAAAACGCCATTGGCATGCTGAGCCAGGCTACAATATCTGCATTTCGGCCAAAGAAAAACAATTTCAACAAACCCCTAATTAGCTGCCTCTCATGACATGCTTGTTAGAGGGTAGTTCCCCCCCCCCCTCCCTTTTTTTTACACCCCAACAAGAGGCCCCAGAACCCAATGGGAAATGGAAAGATATAAGTCTTGTCACCTGTGCTAGTACTATTTACAACATGCTGAACAAATATAATTTATAAAATGCACAGCTATATTTAGAATAAATGTTAATGTAATTACTTCTGTTCATTTTAAAGATCATCTTTATCGCACATTGGACATGAGATTACTATAAAATAGTCTAGTGACAGTGCAGGCATTTATTTGCTGACAGGAGAAAACTACACAAATTTGACTATGTTCAACCAGCCCATTAGGAGCTACTGGCTAGAACTGTCTGATGTTATTTGTACCAAGTTTAATCGCTTGACAGTTCAGGCACATAATAAAACCTTCTGCTGGTGTGTGTGTGTGTATATATATAAACCTACTTGGAAACTTACATTCAGTGGGTCATGCTCCAGAATACGTGTGGCTAAGGACGCTGTAGTATACACAATCCCGCTCATTTTGAAAGGTGATACAATGGGCCTGGGGTCAAAGAGGTCTGGATGATTGCAGACTTTCCTCAGCTGCATCAGAATGTTGATTACACTCATAAAGTGACCAGTGGCCAGTGTCTCCCGGGTCCTGTTCAGTTAAACATGACAATTTGAGAAAAGTTTCTACATTTATAATGAGGATTTCATCAAGGGCACACTACACACAAATCAACAGTTCAGGTGGCATTTATGTCTGAAAAATGAAAGGACTAACTTCAAACCCACCTCACCCCCATTATTAATAGCACATGTCATCTAGGCAGGGTTCCACCCTTTAACACAATAGAAGAGACACATGTGTGTAGTACCACCCAAAAAAACAAAACACACAAAAAAGATTTATAATAAAGCAGAATACTCATCAATTAACAGCTCTCAGAATAAGAAAATACACAAAGATTACCTCTGACTTTTAATGTAAAGTTATCCAAGCCACATTATAATATAAATATTGTAACACTCAAAATTCACATTAATCTGTCAATTTACAGAAACATATTTAAGTATGCACAATATGTGCGGAAATTTAAAAACTGACTAAGCATAGAACTCACTTGGTCTGCGACATGAAATCATCATAGAGATATCTCTGTCTCTTGGAAAGCCGACACATGACAACATGCTCATACTTCTGAGGCATCTGCTTCTCTACTTCATTCTTTAATCGACGCAGAAGGAAAGGCCTCAAAACCTAGGATTTAAAAAAAAAAATATTTGTTAGGTGTTTTCCCTTAACTCTTGCCCCATAAAATAGAGGTCAATACCAGGCTACACCTATATTTTATAGACCAATCAGCACCCAGTTGATGACGTGGTCAACATCACGCCAGTTGTCATTAATTCCCAGGACTTTACCTGGTACTAATTTGAGGCTGTGTCAACCTGGCAGCCACGTTCATTTCTGACAAAATAATGGCTCCGCCAAGACCTGAACTCATGATCTTCTGATCCGCAGTCGAGTGTCTATCTGTTAAACTATGGCAGCCCCATATATATAACCTTGTGAGAATCTTAAAAATGACTATTTGGAAAATGTCACCACTGAAACGTTACCCAAAGAAATTAGAGAAACAAAAGTCAATAACAACAAAAGTCAGTCATTTTATTATTTAAAAACTTCCATTACTACCCAGCAGACAGGCCAGCATGGTGGCCACTCCAACCATCATTTTTGTTCACACTGATGTATTTTTTAAAATTATTATGGGAAGTAATCACTAAATACAAAAAGAGCAAAGAATTAACTGCTATCCTCCTTCAGCTATGAAAACTGTGTTTGTAGACACAGCCATGTGCAGCATAGCGATTTTATGATGCCATAACGACACACAACAACAACCAATTTGTCCCTCAAACTACATCAACATTATTAAAGTAAATATAATCAAACCCAGCACATCTACACATTACAGCTGCAATAGTAGTGGCTATTGTCTAAAGACTTGTGAAAGTTTTTTTTTTTTAACTAAAAATGCTGGGAACAAAAACACTATCAGGGGATAGGGTGTTTTAAACAAAATATCCGAAATAGAAATGTCTGTATCCTTTTTTGTGTGAGTTACCTTTCCTTAGCCTTTGACTACTTCCAGCCTGCCTGCAAGGTAGTAGTGTTAAGTCTATCTTTCTGGTCGTTATAACCTGAACCATGGTCACAACTCTCAAAATCATTAAAACTCATAAGCTCCTCTACCACACCAAGATATTTTATATTTACACACCTGGAGAATTTGCTTAAATCAGACTAAACAAGAAACACACAATCTAACCTTATGCAAGCGACGGACTAAATTTTCATTGTATTCCTGACTTCCTTCAATCATGCCAGTCAGAGGGTTGGAAAACCATTCTTTGAATTCTGAGTGAGACTGAAACACATTTGGCATGAGGAAGTGCATCAATGACCACAGCTCCATCAAAGAATTTTGAAGAGGTGTTCCTGTTAGCAACAATCGTCTCTGACTGGAGAAATTTAGAAGCATCTGCCATCTTTGGGACTTGAAGTTTTTAATATTCTGAGCCTGCAAATACATATAAGATAGTTACTGACCAAGTCAAACATGGAATGTTACCACTTGAATATACATTTAGATAAGTGTGAATCAGCAAAGCTTGACTCTTTAAAAAATCTAATTAAGTGAATGAAAATGACAGGGGGGATATGAAAATGACACAAATCTGAAACAAACTGGAAGTTTGCCTGGGTAATTATAACTCAAGTCCATAAAAGATGAAAGCTTACCTCATCCAGAATGAAATATTTCCATTTCTTCCTGCGGAATGCTTGATGATCTTGCACCACTAATTTATATGAAGTGATACACACATGGAATGCATTAGTTTTTGTCCAACCCTGAAAAGAAATAATCCATTAGGTTGTCATGTAAGTTATTTCTGTCTAGAATTTGTATTGTAGCATAACAACATGAGCACAGCAGCAGGACTAGTAAATGAACAACGTTACAGTTAATCACACTGTAGCAGATAATGCCATAAGCCAATCCACCCAAGTATTTTTGTTTAAACTCCTGCCAATTTGTCTCAATGACTATCTTAGTCAAATAGAAAATGACTCATTCATATGTAATTTTCTATTTTGTGAATTACTTGGCTGTTGTGTCTTAAAAACCTCAAAGCATTGTATCCTGCTGCGAATTTAAATTATGAGGACACACACAATTTACTGCACGAATTAGTTCCTGGCATACTTAACATTCATCTACATCAGGTACAACATACTATATAAATTAAATCAACATATAATAAAGCCCATCAGATTTACAGCACTCAATTTAATTTGGTTTTATTCATACTGACATCTTGCAACAGTTAAAACTCAAGTGACAAGGACAAAAGTCAACTGTTTTAGCTAATACTGTAAGCTCCAAAGGACATTTGACTCAATTTTGTTCACCAGTAGCACACACAATTATGATGTACTGGGGGAAAAAATGTATTAAAAGCATTCTGGTATACTGCTAGAGGACACTGTTGAACCTACCTGTCTTTTGAGTTTTCTCTCCTTGATACTGCCATAATATGTCAGGATTTTAAAAGCAGGGCACCATTTTTTGAACTCCATCTCCCAGTTGAGCATAACACTTGTAGGTACAACAATGAGGTGAGGCCCCCAGACACCTAAAGAAACAGTGAATATTTGGCACTGATCAGACATTGCAGAGATTTAGTTCACAGCTTATCTATAAGATTATTATTAATTTAATCTCTCTTGAAATATTTCCTCATACTTGATATATTTCCAATATTATAAACTACTATCATCATCGTGATGCAGCAATCCCTTTGTAGAACATTACTCCTATCACAGACTAATGAAAAGATCACCATTTCCCTAATACAATGTTATGCCCAAAGAGCCTGGCATCATTTTGTCAGCCTATGCTTTACATGCCAGAAAGCATATCTTTATTTACTTTTCTTTCTAATCTGCCGTGACCATTAATGTAACCAAAGTATTCAGTCTCCAAAATTCTCTGTACAAGAGATGCTAAGACTGTACAGCAAGTAAAGTGAAGATCCCTTTACACACCTTGGGCGCATCGGGCATATGGGAAAAGCACCCATATTTTTACAGACAAATCAGCACTAGGCGGGTAATGTGGTCAGCATTACGCTGTCTGTCTTTACTTCCCCAGGACATACATCCTGGTACCCATTTTTGGCTGGGTTGACCTATGACGCCCCATACCAAGATAAAAATCCATGCAGCCAGAAGTGGGTTTCAATCGCCCTACTTACGAGTCTGACTCGCAACGCCTAAGCCACGGACGCCGCAGACTGTACAGTAGAATGTGAAGTCCCAAGAAAATCAAGATGTGTTTTGCGATATCACCTTTGAGTTTCAATCAACATATAATATGCTCTTTTGTTTTACATTAGGTAAGGCCATAAGAAAGAAATCCGCCTTCTCCAGAGTAATTTCTACAGTATATAAAGACTATTTGAAAATTAAACAACCCATGATTATCCCATAGTGGTAAATTACCCTGTTAGCTGAAAGAATTAATGTCAATGCCCTATGTGCGCAACTAACTGGACAAAATACAAGTTTGCCACAAATGTTACCTTTATCACAAGCAAGATGAGCTAACACAGCAATAGTCTGAATGGTTTTTCCAAGCCCCATCTCATCGGCCAGGATTCCATTGAGTCTTTTGTCATGCATCGTGGCAAGCCAATCTAAGCCTACATGCTGATATTCTCGGAGTGTGTGCTTTAGCAAGAAAGGCACTTTTGTCTTTACCTGAATCATTACAAAAAAAGATTATTTATATCGTTTAACCAGGAAATATTCTGGGACAAAAAAGTGGTAAGTCTCACTGCAGGATTTTAACCAAAATTAGAAAGAAAGATACAAAAACATCACTCTACAATCATCTTTATGAATCAGAGGCTGAGTGAGTGAGTTTTCCTTTACATATCCTCCTCCTTTTCTCCTCCTTTATTCTGCTTGCTTATATTTTCAACAGCAGTATGCCATGTCTTATGTAAGCTGGGCCATGATAATGAAACATTTCCCTCTTAAACTCGTTAGAATCAGTTCATTTTGTTTTCTCCCAAGCCCACTGAGTCTATGCAACATTTAAAATAATTATTTTTTTTCAGGGCCAATTGTCAAATATTCTTTTGTCCTACTGCTCACGCTGTAAAGTGTCACAGAGAGGAGTTATACAAGGTCCAACCATTAAGTAATGAGACTAATTCCATAAAAATTAAAATAATCAACGCTTGAAGATATAACCTGTCTTTTATTCAAAGTAAGCCTCTTGTGCACTGATACAGCAAGTGGCACGATCTAACAAACATTGGAACGAGCAATGTAGTTCTTCTATCGTTATGGCACGATCTAACAAACATTGGAACGAGCAATGTAGTTCTTCTATCGTTATGGCACGATCTAACAAACATTGGAACGAGCAATATAGTTCTTCTATCGTTATGGCACTTAAAGTCGATCTTACAGCCCTTTGGATGCTATCAATATTGTCAAAGAAGCATCCTTTCAATTGCAACTTCAATTTTGGGAATAGAAAATAGTCACAGGGAGATAAATCTGGGGAATAGGGTAGATGGTTAAAAACACACATCTGTTCTTGGGCCACAAATTCCTGTACAACTACCACTCTTTGAGCTGGTGCCTTGTCATTAAGAAGGAAAACATTGCCAGGTGTTGAATACAAACTGACAAGCATCTTTTTTTTAATTTTTTATTGCACAAATCTTCCACTAACATTTTACGAACAGTTGAACACCGATCTTATATCCATTCTCGGAATTTTGCAATGAGTTCCTCATTACGAACAGAAATTGGGCGTCCAGGTCTAGTTGCATTAGTAATCATTTCCACACCACTTTTGAATCGTGAATACTAGCTGAAAATCTTTGCACGAGATAAACAATTATCCCCATAAACTTGTTGCATCAATTCATACAACAACGCTTTTTCTGAGTTCTAAACGGAATTTAATGTTAACTCTTTTTTTGTGTGCCATGCTGATTTTCATAACAATGAACCTCAGACTAGGTTAACAATATGGCGGCTTATTTGTTGTCTGCTTATCGGGCGGCAATGAAAAGTTGCCAGATCATAGACAAATGTTGCCTCTTTGATTCATAGATGACATTTTTGTCTTGGCCATAATAAAATCAGTCTCATTACTTGATTGTCAAACCTTGTATGTGTTTCCTGTCTTCTACTAGTTATGCAGCTTGTGTTAATGTCATACTGTGTTTCTGTGTCTCTTTTACTCCCTCTACCCACAACTTTACTGGTTGGCCTCTTGTAACCTGCTGTTCTCATGCAGTAGGCTCTAGCTGCTGGCTGATTTGGTTCCACCCCGACCAGATGCTCAAACCATTTAATTCTTTGATTTTCTAAGAAATCATTTACTGGTAGTGTGCCTACTATTGTTCTTAGTTGGTGACTCTTGCCTCTTCTCGTTTTCCCTGCTGCATGTCTTACACATTTCATCTCACATGTAATTTTGCATTTTTCAAAGATTGTCTATGTCTATCAATAATAGCACAAAGTTGGTACATACAGCACAATTATCATAAACGTCAAATGAGGTTGCTAAAAAACCAAAAGGGTCAAGTACACCAAACGTATCAAAAATGCAATGTATGATTAATAAAAATAAAGACCGATATAAATTTCACCAAGTGCTGCAGAAACGACAGGTTCAATAAACATGACACTCTTCTAATGAAGTAAGACAGGAAAACAAAGCTACAGATACCTCTGTTGTCTCCAATGTGTAGCCTTTTGGCTGCAAGCTTTCAGCAGCTGCTGCTATGTCACTAAATTCTTTGCCAGGCCCCTCTGTGCTAGACTCATCACCCTGTAGACACAGAATCATAACATGCTTCCATTTCCTAATCCACAAATAGTACGACAAAGAGTATATTACACATAATCTGCTTGCCACCAGTTACCCAACACTTATTCTTAACACCTTAAATTAACATTCACATCTTCTTCTTATAGTCCATGCTGTCAAACTATCCAGCATCTTCTCTCTCGGTCTCCGTCTGTTTCTTTCTGATACAACTTTCCCACTGAGACATTTTTGTTACCTGTCCAGGGTATATATAAATTAGGAAATTTGAGGGACGTTTTGCACGCTGGGACTGGATGGATTTATTCTAGCTATGCAAGTTAGGGACATGTCATAAGAGAAAATGGCCAAACTGAGTAGAAACCCAAAAGCGAATAGTACAGGCAAAAATGTGTTCCAACACAGAAAAAGTTATTAAAAAATCAACGGGGGAAAAACAAATCATTAAACCGAGCAATGACAAATGTTATGTATATTAAAAACACTACTATTTGGCAACACAGAAACCTAGACAGTGAACAAACCAACAGCATGTCGAACCGAAGCCCTAAAGATGTGGTCATGCAGTATCTCATGGAAACAAAACCAATGAAAGACATTCCAAGGGAGACTGAGAATGAGGAAAGAACTTTAGTTTTAAGAAGAAGAAAATAGATATTTGTTGGTTCTGTCAGCCATATAAAAAGATATGATGCTATAAAAAAAAACTATACTTTTATTTACCAAGTTACCTTTCCAGTTAATTATCTTGTGGATAGCACAGCCTTACAGGATGTACCCATGATGATGGTAAATGTGCAAAAAAAAAAAAAAATGTTAATAGACTTGGATTGGAAGAAACTAGCCTGAATTTACAGTGAAGTTTATCTTATAGCACACAAAATCCTGGCAACATGTCACAGGCGACCTTTGCTGCACAAATAGCACTGGATGACCACAGTGTGAGCATAGATAGTTTGCTGGTTCCAGGAGAAAGAATAAATGAGTCTAGGCTGGCTTTTGACGAACGGTCAACAAATTAACAAGTGAACATTCTTAAACTTACCTGAGGTGCTGCTTCTGTTTTCACTAGAAATTCCAAACCAACATCCTCCTGCTTGTCATCAGTACCTGGTTTATTGTCGAGCTCCTTGTCATCCATTTCTGACTCTGCCTCCTCCTCCTCCTCAGATGACTCTCCAGATTCTTTCTCAGACACTATCAAACATTTGGACAGAGAAAATAGCATTTAAAGAGGTCATAACAATAAACATTTGATAAAAATGTGCAATCAATTAGAGAATGAAACACTAAACTAGAAACACTGTTACAACATGAACTTTTTTTTAACAATATTCTCTTAAGGGCTGAAATGCAAGAGAGCACAATCCAAAATTTCAAAAGAAATTAACTATGCAAAATAAATACAACACACTGAGAAGTGATAAACATTTTTTTTAAATAGCAGAGGATAAAAAGCCAACTGGCCACTGGATCTGCAAGTGTCCATACACTGGATCTGCAAGTGTCCATACACTGGATCTGCAAGTGTCCATACTCTTCAACATCTTCTGAGGGAGATGGAGCACACTTGCATGTCCCGACTGCTCTGACCCAGTTACTGAATTTTTCCATTTTGGAACAAACAAACAACCACAATAGGCAAATCACATTTTAAAAAAAGGTCAGTAGGAAGTTCCAGGATACGAAACAGAAATCTGTCAAGGATTCACACTGTTACTAAATACTAATTCAAGCACACTATGCATAGAAAGAAGGATGTCTGGCACAAGAGCAATGATGTAGATGGAAACCGTAAATGCAGCAAAAAAAACTTAGCAGGTTCGTGATGGTTAAAAAAAAAATTGAGTCAGCAACACAAGAAAATTTAAAATAACCTAAATATAGCAAGAAAATTAATAAAGAGGTGGAAAATAACACGCAGAGTAAATGCAAAACAGCAATTTCACACACAGAAAATAAAGGAAACAACTTAACATACAGGCAGATATTCACTCTTCACAATGTCATTACCTGATGACTCATCATCCTCACCATCACTGCCCTCTTCACTGGAATTCTCTTTTGGCATTTCAAAGTCACTATCATATGCCCCAGCATATTTCTGCATCAGTTCCTCTACACTCATTTCCCCTGAGAATAGAAGTTTTCAAAAGACAATGTTCTTAACATAAATGTACCTTAATATTATTCAGGCTTTATATTCAGTGCTAGAAATTATTTTAAAAAATACCAGTGTCACTATGGATTATATTCAATGAATGTCAATGCACGTCGTCTTCTTTCGTTCGCCTGAAATAAGTTGTCTATATCAGCAGTTTTGTCTCTTGTATAAATTTCACTGTCGTTTTTAGTTCATTCAGTGGTCCATAGAGTTTACGTTCCACTGTTGTTCTTTCTGGCCAAAAGGTTTGCCTTAATGTGTCAAATTCGGTGCAGTCCTCGAGTACATGCTCTGCTGTCTGGGGCAGATTTCCACAGGTGCACATGGCTGATACACCTATCTTGAATTTTGTGTACATGTGGTTATGTAATCGGTTGTGTCCTGTTCTGAGGCGGAGGATAATGACTTGTTCTGGTCTGTCCAAAATAAAATAGTCGCCTTGCGCTGGGGCTGGTGGTTTCCTGATCGATTTAATCATTCTTTTCTTTTGGTGGTATGTGACTGGTACATTCGGCTGCACTTTTTTCGCACCTTCCCCTGCCAGTTGATCAGCTTTCTCATTTCCATTCACTCCACAATGAGGTGGTCAATGCACTTGAAAATGCAAATCAGTGCTCCATCTAAATGATGTCAAAACACAGTACTCACAGTACTCAACAGCACCAGTGTTGACTCCAGTATATCAGAACTAGGAGGGCAAGTCAATAAGAAAGTCACAAATGGTTATGGGATGGCAGGAAAATGTAGTTGGTGGTTTCTAAAGGTGTCATTAGGTGACTGCAACATCAAACTTTATGTCTCCATCCATTAGGTGGCGCTAGGTGTTGCGCGCACATTCACATCACAGAAACAAAATGGCGACTGTACTTTTGGAGTGTACCATCATAAAACAATGTGCTGTTGTCCGTTTGGGGAGGGGCAAAAGGGCTGCCAGCAAAGGACATTCATAAGGAAATGCTTCTTGTTTATGCTGACATTTCTTTATCTCCTAAAGTGATGCATAGCTGGGTAAAACAAACTGTTTATGAAGTCTGATCTGGTTGTTCGGTTGAGATAGCAACAGATGCATTTGTGCAGTGAGTGGAGGAGATAATTAGAGGTGACAGGCCAGTAATGGCTGACTCTGTAGCAGCTGCAATAGAGTGCTCACATGGTTCAACATACAAAATAATGCATGATCGACTTAAATTTAAGAAAGTGTGCTCAAGGTGGGTACCCAGACAATTGACAGAAGAACACAAAATGAACCGATTAGGCCTGTCCTTGCAAAATCACTGTCTATATGCAGATGAAGTAGATATGCTGTTAAGGATTATTAGTGGGGAGTAATCATGGGTAAATCACTACCAGCCCGAATCAAAGAGTGCTTCATTGCAATGGAAACCTTCGCCTTGTGTTTAAAAATTAAAGGTTACATCAGGAAAGATTATGCTGACAGTGATCTGGGATTGTCAAGGAGTGCTTTTAAACAATTTAAAAAAAAAATAAAAATGTGACAATGTGAATGTTGATTCATACCTTAAAGATCTATCAATGCTTCATGATACAATTGCTGACTAAAGGAGTACTGCACTTTCATGACAATGCCAGACCAGATATGGCTCGGTTAACTCAAGAGAAAAGACATTTCGCAAATGATGCAGAAGTTAATGTGAAATGAAAATGTGGTTTAGGAAACATTCGTGCAGTTCTATGCAGCAGGTTTGGGAGGACTGATATAATGATGGGATAAGTGCATCAATGCTGGTGGAAATTATGTTGAAGAATAAAGTGACAGATTTTTTTTTTAACGGTTTTCAAGTTGATACCCTCTTTTTCTTTTAACAATCATTTGTGACTTACTTATTGACTTCTCATATAAACTTCAAATAGTCTGTGGGGGGTAAATTTTCTAATTGGGAGGAGGGGGGCGCACACAGCAAAGGGATCGACTAAGACACATATGTGCGAGAAGGCTAAGTATCCAATCCAATACCAAAGGAGCAGATCTATAACACCCCGAAGCTCCATAAAGGTAAATGTAGTTGCTTAACTTTCAGAGAATCTAGTGTTAGGCCTTCACATATTCTACAGCATTACAGGTGGGGTGATCAGCTCATTTTTACACACAATTCTCAGAAAGTTCTAAACATTATCTGGAATCACTATCTTATTCAAATAATGACCTACAGCATGACTAACAACAAAACCTGTCAAGATGGAATGCTGAAATATAAGACAAATGTTCCATATCTTAGCCACTCAGCCTCACTTCTCATGAGTATAATGTTCTGCTCTTTATCAATCCTTCTGCAATAAAAGCACTTAATGTTTTTTACATTCAGCAGCACATGAAATGAATAGATTTTATTCTGCATTATTTAGTGCAATAATTATTTTTTTTAACTGAAATACTGGGTTTCTCTTTTGGAGGGTACAAGGGAAACATACATAATTATCACAACAAAGTAATCACTGGCAATCTCTGCTTTATCTCACCTTCAGCCTTTAAGTCTTCTAGTTCGTGTGAGTAATCCTTCTTTTCTGAATTTTCTTGCTCCTCTATAGTATCTTCCACATCATCCTCCACCTCTCCTCCAACCAGGAAATCTTCATCACCCTGAAACAAAAATAACAGAACTGCAATTTCTTTAAAATGCACTTCTTCTTCTTTGTTCACCGGTTGTAAGCTCCAGCTCAAAGTCTTAGCTGTTCATAGCTTTTGATTTTTAGTTTGTACCACGGTCCAAGTTTTTTGTGTACATCTTTGCCGCTTGGGCAGAGGCATTCTTCTTCTTCTTCGCGTTCACCAGCTGTACACTCTGGCGGAAAGTTCTGGTTGCTCGTCCACTACTGAACTGCAGTCCTGCTCCAGAACCTGAGTGTTGCGTGTGCATCAGTTTTACAGATTTCATTCTCTTGAATGCAGACTGTTGGTTCCTTGCCTCTCCGGCAGATGCACTCCGACTTCAAAGGAAGTCCCTAAATTAGCCGACTCCTGCGACATGCTCGTTAGGGAGGCAGTGGTTATATTCCTGTTTTCCCCATAACGGAGCTCCCGAACTCCCATGGAAGAAAATACACTTGATGACAAGTTATCAACAAAACTAATTTTTTTTTGGGAAAAGCATGATTACCAAAATAAATGGAATATAGTGAAAACATGAAATGATTAATTTGTTTTTACATTTTTAAATCATCACACCCTTCCACAGTGCCAAAAGAATATAGAATATATGTTTTAACCACTGCATAATTCATACACATTTAAAATCCTTTGCTTGAAATTTCTTATGAAAGCAATTTTAACACTTACAATTTTAAAAAAAAAAGCCCACAATATCTTGGAGAGGACTGGAACACAGAACTTGATAGAAATGCTACTGTTTAAAGTCAACAAAGGAAACTTTTCCAGGTAGGCCTAACAGCATCATAAAGTACACTGCAAATATTTGTCTAAAGTTTTAACACTTAGGATAAAAGCACTACCACACCTTTGGTGGCAGTGACACTTCACTGTCGCTGTCTTCATCAAACAGGAGATCATTAGAGGGTGGTTCCAACATTTCCTGTGGTAATGTTTTCAGTAGCTCTTCCAGAGGCATCTCACTCTCTTTTTTCAGATCTTCTACCTCCTGTCTAGTGGCATCCTAGAACAAAACATACTGAGGTGAGCACATTCTTAGAAACAAAATGCTGCTTTAAATTCTCCCAATGTTCAAAAGACAACCACACAAATTACCCAAGATTACATTTCATTGCCATTATAACACACTTAATGTCAGCATGGTACATTCATCAGGAGTGCACACCACATGAAATTATGCAGCCTGTTCAATTATGACGACAATCAAGCATGCCTGCTTGGAATAAGTGTGTTGCTGGTTATCTGGACAGAATTAAATGATCATCACCAGTCCCAGATCCCATCAGCTCCATCTTTCTGGTATCTAATACAGACATGACTTCATTCCAGTTCAAGCCAGAAAAACATGTTGAAACTATGGTCACTACGTCAATTATACTGCAGCGTTCTTATCACCTTCTCGCCCCAAGAAAGCTGTTCTCCCAGCTTATACAGGTTTTGGTTGACTCTGGAAGTGCCCAGTATGCCTGTATGACAACACGTGTACTGGCTATAACAGCAGTGTGTGCAGACATTGTGAGTATTATTATACTTAGCATTTGATTTAAAGATATTATCTGGGGAGAGGGGGGGGAACAATAGATATGAATATCCCCTCCTCTGAATATTTATAAAAACTGACAAAGACCCCAAATTTCTTCTGCTTCTTCTAGTTTCTTAGTTGAAGAGAATTATAAGGATGCATTGAGTTTTAAACAATATTTGGAAGAAGGGGGAAAAAGCTAATTTTTGTTAAAGATATTTACAGGGTGAAAAGGTTAATCTTCAACAGGAACAAAATATGGAACTCTAAATTATATGGTTTTAAAACAAATTTTCTTCTATTCCAATTTTAACATATGCCAGTGAAAGCGAAAAAAAAACAGCCAAAAACCAAATAAGATTAAATGGGAGTGAATTTAAGAAATGTAAAGACATAAGAATCACTCACTGATCACTGGCATTATGAGGGCTAACAGACTGAGATGAAATGAGTATTTCAAAAGAATGTCAGATGAAAGTGAGGTAGAAACTTTGTACATAAGGCAGCTGAATGGTCACAGACCACGAAGACGGTGAAGAGATTATATATATATAATAATTATCTGTGGGGTACAATGTTTCTATCTATATATATATATATATATATATATATATATATATATATATATATATATAGATAGAAACATTGTACCCCACAGATTCAACAAACTTACCTCATCCACTCCAGACTCTAATTCCTCCATTTCAATGGTTTCTTCATCGTCACTAGCAGTCCCCACAGGTTCAAACTCTGTCAATAACAATCATATTTCAATGCCAGGAAACTATACTGAACATATTCTTGTGGCTCAACACGCACAT